CACCCCTGCTCCACTCCTTCACCCCTGCTCCACCCCTCTACCCGCCCTGATCCCCTCCTCCACCCACCCTGCTCCCCTCTTCCACCCACCTTGCTCCACTCCTTCACCCCTGCTTCCTCCTCCACCGGCCCTGCTACCTCCTCTCACTCTGTGCTTGTGCTTTTCATTGAAAATTCTCGTGACCAAGCTGAGATTGAGTCTACATCCCCACTGGCCTGTAGTGGAAAGTGGTTTAAAATATTCCACCACTCATGACCTCTCACCCACACGCATACAAATTGGATTCTGACTTGGTTATTAAAAAGAAAAAAAAAAGACGTGAAATTGTGGTGCGTGTGCATGTTGGGATAGAAGAGGTTTCTCTAGATTACAAAATGGATGAAATAATCCCTGGCAGTGGCCTGCCTGTGAAGACAGATCTGCATTTACGACTCAGTGCTCAGCATAACCAGGAATGCTAGCACACACTCCTTCTGTAACGGGTAGCATTTCTAAACTGCTGGTGGTGGTCTCAGTGAGAATGGCCTCTGCAGCCGTATGTTTGAATACCTGGTTAGAACAATTGAAACTGTTTAGGAGAGAGCATGAGGCGTGGCCTTGCTGGAGGCTTCAAAAGTCCGCCTCAGGAATGTAAGCTCTCAGCTGCGGCTCTAGCGCCATGCGTGCCAGCCTGCAACCATGGTCATGTACTCTAACCCTCTGCAACTGTAAGTGCCAAATTAAACTTGTTAAAACAAGTTACCTTGGTCAAGGCAATAGAAAAGAAATTAAGACATCCCCATTTATCTTTTTTAAAATCACTTCCTATCCCCAAGAGATTCCAACCTGGAAAACTTTCCCATGCACTTCCGGACCACGTCACGAAGAGAGGCAACCCTCGGCACTCCACGTCACGAAGAGAGGCAACCCTCGGCACTTGTTTGCTTGGACTATGGAAAGGAACAGACTTTGATTCCCAAACCATAGTGTCGGACTTGGGATGGGTAAGGTCAAGGGTGCGAAGAGCGAATTTCGAGGGGATGACAACCGCCTTTCCACTTTTGGCGAAACCCTAACACCCCAGAGGCAGGGGCAGGCAGTTTAAAGCCAGGTTGGTCCGCATATTAAATTTCAGGCCAGCTGAGGCTATATAGAGACCTTCTCCCCACCCCCAATCCGAAAGACTCATCACTTATCCGGCTGGTATTACCCCAGCTCCAGTGAAGCTACTAGCTTATTGGAAAGTAACTGTGTACACATGGTGTTTGGGGGGGGGGGGGAAGTAAGGAATGAGCCAAGTGAGGCCATTGTCATAGACCGGGTAACATGAGGTGTAAAAATGCCTTTGGTAGGTAAAATAGTGCATGCAATCCCAGTGCCTGGGAAGGCAGGGAGTCTCGAGTTCAAGGACGCCAGGGTAATACAGTAAGACCCTATTTTTATCTTAAAAAAAAATAAAAAAGCCTTGGGGCTGGAGATGGCTCAGCGGTTAAGAGCATTGCCTGCTCTTCCAAAGGTCCTGAGTTCAATTCCCAGCAACCACATGGTGGCTCACAATCATCCATAATGAGGTCTGGTGCCCTCTTCTGGCCTACAGGCGGAACATTGTATACACAATAAATAATTATTTTTTTTTAAAAAGCCTCTTGTATGCCTTCATGGTGACATTTCCCCAGGTGACTGGGTGCTGATCCACAGTGGCGTTTGATCCCTCTTCCCGAGAGACTTGGGTAACCCATCCCAGCACTTTAGATGGCACAGGGACACACTTTTCTTTTAAAGACTTCTTACGTGTGTGCGTGTGTGTGATGCATGTGTACAGCTGCCTGTGGAAGCCAGAAGAGGCCATCAGATCCTCTGGAGTTGGAATTACAGGGCGTTGTGAGTCGCCCCATATGGGTGCTAGGGATCGAACTTAGGTCCTCTGGAAGAACAGCTGGTGCTCTTAACCACTGGGCCAGCTCTACCAGCTGGGTACATATGCTCAGTTGGTTTTCGACCTCCTTCCTAATGAACACAGCTCATTAGCACCCCCGAGTGCTGATGCACACAAACCTATGCTTACAGGGTGGGATGCAAGCGCAGAAGCGGCTGCGGCTTGGAGAACTGTACTGAGTTTAGATTGTAGACTGGAAAATGTAACTTTAGGGAGCTGGATATATGGTCATACTTTTTACAAGGTTCCAGGTGAAAGCCTGGAGGACTGAGAAGCCAGGAAGCCTGTTTCCCTCACAACTGAGATTAATTAGCAAGCTCCCAAGAGGCCAAGGTCAGTCATGTACCTTCAGACTCACCGGTGCCATGAGAGTGAACCAGGTAGGTACAGAGGCAGTACTGGGAAGTCATTTAAGCTGATGGGTGGTCAGGGCTTCCCAGAAGGGTGCTTAGATCATGACCAAGGGGAGAGCTGGGGCAGAGCTTGGGCAAGCATCTGAGACAGGAATGAGCTCAGCTGTCAGGGCAGGGTACAGCCAGGGTTCAGTGAGAGGCAGGTGGAGAGAAGCAACTCAGAGCTCAGAAACTGGCCGGTGACGCTGTCCCCAAGGGAACATGATGCAGCAAGGGTTTCTGAGCAGTGTGGTTAGAACAGGGTCCGGGGTCAGTGATAACTGACCCGGAAGAGAAAGGACAACTGGAGTGTCGCCTCCTTTCAAAAGGTTTTTCTTCTTTAATTAGAGCAGCAGTTCTCAACCTGTGGGTCATGACCCCTTGGGTGGGATGTCAAACGACCCTTTTACAGGGGTCGCAGATCAGATATTTATATGACGATTCCTAATAGTAGCAAAACTACAGCTATAAAGTAGCAAGGAAATAATTTTATGGTTGGGGTCACCACAACAGGATGAACGGCATTAAAGAGCCACAGAGTTAGGAAGGTTGAGGACCACCACTCTAAAGTATATTCATCACACAAAACTCTGTGTGTGTGTATGTGTGTGTGTGTGACAAGGTCTCACTCTGTAGACCAGACTGGCCTTGAACTCAGAGATCCGCTTGCATCTGCGTTCAGATAGCTGTGGTTAACAGTGTTTGTACCACTGCTGGCTAAAATAAATCCAAAATTTATGACACATCCTAATGTGTCGTACAGTTTGGTTGGTAATCTCAAGGGCTTTGGCAGGTGCCACTCAGCCCTGGTCACTCCTCTTCTTACCACACAGGCCTGACGACTTGACCTTGGTGGCGAGAAACAAGTGTCTGCTGTACTCCACCCAGATTATGGGCAGAAATAGCTGTTGGAATTAGTGACATTTTGGGATGCACACAGGGTAAGAAAGGGGTCAGCTAGATATGAGCTGGGCTGCCTGGGGCTGGACCCTGCCTTGCCACTTCCCATGTGACTCTGGACACATGCCCACTCCATGCTTTAGCTTCTGTGTTTAGTAAGGGGACACACTAAGGGCTAGGACCAGTCTCTCTCCTTGAAGTGATCACACTATCCTGTCACCGTGTCACAGCCTGGGTCAGGGTCAAAGGGCCAGAGCACAGGGGACAGTCCATGAGCCCCAAGTTCTCCAGCCAAGTGCTGCTGCTGTGTATTAAATGGGTTTCTCAGTTTAGGGAATGTGCCAGTTACCGGGGCCAGCAGAGGCAGCTGAGGGACACCACACAGGACGGAGCAGTGTTGGCTTTCATCGAGGGAGAGCCTCGTGTGGGAGGTAGAGTCAGGCGGCAGCAGAGCAAAGAGCAGGCAGACAGAAGGTGGGAGCTTATTCTGGGTTGCCATGGAGAAAACTTGGGATTTTTGGGGGGTGGGAGAGGAGGAGAAAGCATTAAAGATTTAAGATCCTAGGCAGGAAAAGGCTCACGATGTGAGAGAGGAGACAAACCCCGTAGAGACAAAGTGGTAAGGTAGGGTGCAGGGCACAGGGGGGTTCACCTGAGAGCTGAGGACAGGAAGAGGCCAAGGCTCACACATTTGCGAGTCTACCAGAGGATCCCACTCTCCCCAGGACTCAAGAAGGGAATGGCTGAGAAACCACTAGTGAGGGATGGTTGAAGGCCAGTCCAACAGTAGAAGCCTTCCACACAGTTACGGTGAAGAAAGGAGCCGGGTGGCAGAGGCCAGGGAAGCAGGCACCCCAGGAGCGTTCAGCTGGTCAGTGGAGCTGGCATATATGCAAGCGGGCAGCAGGGGATGAAGAGGAGCTGGCTGCCAGCCAGAGCAGGTGGAGTCACCTACCTCCCAGCTCCTGGACAGCCTTCCAGACAAGTGCTGTGGCTTCTCCTTCTCTTTCCCTACTAGAGCCCGGGCTTCAGGCAAGAAAGAAAGATCCACAGACAGCCAGGTGGTGTTTCTCTCTTTTATTTAAAAACAGTGCTTCATTACCGTCTGCAAAGGCTGAGGCAGGGCCCCTCCTCTGCTTAGAGTTTATAAAAGCCAGCAACATGATCAATAATTTATACACATGGAGAGTAATACAAAAAATAAGGAATAAAAGCTAAAGATCTAACTACTCCAACCTTCACAATTCCAGCTACTTGATAATAATAGGAGTAACCCAATGAATACTGTATGGTCTGAAAGCTACTATACAATATGATTCTTAGGGAGAGGAGGAGGGAGTTAGAGACTGTCACAAGCCCCGAGTGCTTCTCTGGAGTTAGCAGGGAAACAGGGCCCTGGGCAAGCAGCTCCGGTGTCCTAGGGGGTGATTGTGGGAGAGGCTGGGAGGGAAAGGGACATGGCTAGGTGGTCAATTGTACAAGCATCTGAGTATGTCCCCATGCCCCAGTGGTACCTGTCCTGCCACAGGGAAGCTGCACGTGCTAGGCAGGCCACTCCTTGCCACAGGGGTGTGGAGAAGAGAGAGGCTCTGTGGCACTTTGAGCCTTGACAAGACTGAGACTCAAAAACCTGGAGCCTCAGTTCTCTCTGCAGCTCTAGCTTCAGGCGTGTCAGCCCCAGGTGGCTCTAGCTATTCACAAGCATAATGGTGACATTAAGGGGAAAATTCATGTCCCTTGGGGGAAAAAAAAACAAGGATCAGTTCATCACTCGATATATAATGCAGCCAAAATGAGCTGCCCAACAAGCACGCACACACAAAAATACTGTGAACAGAAAATACAAGAGAACAGCTAAGCTAGGAGTCCTGATGGGGACAGACAGCGATTAAAGCATGTCAGTCCCCGGAAAAACCAAACCAAAAGCATTTTCTGAAAAACTCAAAAACTTGCGTGCCCCTGGGAATCTGGCATTGGTAACCGGAAGGGGGAGGGGAAGGAAAGAGCATCGCTGTTCCCTTTTTGCCTGCCAGGGTAAATGCAGCCCTCCCAGTGCTGGCATGGACAGAACTACCAGACAGAGGGCTGCCCCCTAGGCCGGAGGTCTCTGTCAAGGCAAGGTTGAGTTTTGGCTGATGAGCAGTTCTCAGTTACCAATCCCTGCCAGCCAGCACCACCATGGCTGAACTCAACTACCGTTTTCCTGAGTACACTGTAACTGGCTACAGTTTCGGTAACTTGCATAAGAACATGGCTTCCACAGCCAACCACAATATTTCAGGGACCTGTGCCCCCTGGCTCACTTCCAGTGCCTCGCTGAAGAGTTCGGCAACCTGTGGTAGTTGGTGAGCCTTTCAAAAGCATAGTTGCCAAGGACTGTCCTGCACTCAGTAACCTAGAGGGCACATGCTGGTTAGGACACCCAGAGCCTGCTTGGGGTGGGGCCTTGTTTCCCGCTCTGGCTCGGGCATGGCAATTGCCTGGCTGATGAGGAAAGCAAAGGTAAAGGAAGAACACAGGAGAGGGAAGGCGTGGGAAGAGGCTTCCGGACAGCAACATTTCCAAAAATATAGTGTTTTATGCAACAGAGAATCAAGTGTCACTGGTGTATACTACAAATGATCAGACATTCTCAAGAGCATGACAAAATAAAACACACGTTCACATCAGATGTTCACCGTGCCCACTATTGTTTCCTATCTGAAAACAGTGCAAACAGGTAACTTATGCTTTAAAACACCACAACCCCTTCCCCACCCCCCGAAGTCCCTTTCCTCCTAATATCAGGGGAAAAATCTGCAGTTCTGCAAACATTGCCATGCTAGAGTTTCGAGTAGTGGAGAACTGGCTGGGCCAAAGGGGAAGGTTCGGCAGGCAGCTCCCTGCCCCTCCTGATACACCTGTGTTCCAGACTGCCCTTGGTTGGTCTTGTTCGCCTGGCACAGGAACGGGGGCGCACTATGCTTTTCTTGCATATCCTTGGGGATGCTCCATTCATCTCACAGTCCCTTATGTCTGGAAGCTACATGACTAGGTACAGGATGGAGGTGGTCACAGATCTGCAGGCTGCTCCTCTAGGAACGCACAGCCTAAACTAAGCAGTTCAGCCCCCGAGGAGGTCCACATTTTCAGAAAAGCCACGAGCTCCCCTTAAACTAAGAGCCAAGTGTCAGGTTGTTTCCAAGGGAAGAAAGCATGCTGGCTCAATTCAGACTGTGGCCGCTGCAGGGGTGATGGTGACAGGAGGGTCCGGGAGACCTGAGAGCCTTAAAAATGACAGGTAACACGGTGGGTCTGGGCTGAGGTCCAACTAAGTAACACAGAAATGCTAGAAAAGACCTAAGGCAGCTCTCCGGGCTGAAAGAGGGACAGCCAGACAAACGTTTTCACTATAAGTCTCCTTAAAGGAGCGCAGCCTCTAAGTAAGAGTCGCAGCATAGAAAGCTCAGGCTACACCAGCCTGCAAAGCTGAGCATCAGTCCCATGCTCGCTCTAACATCAGTCATCTTGGAGACCACCACCCAGCATCCTCTATAGTCACAAATGCCCGTCTCCTCCAGCTTGCTTCCCAAAGCCGTCCAACATGCCAGCACTGTGGCCTTGAGGACCAACCATGAGGCAGATACAGTGGAATCCAGACACTTGGGAGACCCAACTCTCAGTGCTCACCCTGAAATCTAAAGACCCTTGCATAAAAAGCCAATTCCATCTAGTCTTCCTTGGAAAAGGAAGTCGAGGAAGTGGCATGGGAGAGTGTCCTTGTACACGAAGCACAGACACACTGGCAAGCAACTGGCCTTGGAGGCCTCAGCCAGAACCAGCTGAACTGAAGTGCGTGCGTGAAGGCCCCTCCAGCATGGGCCATGGGAATTACCTTCCTCACCCTGCCAGGGCCACCCTTATTCCTGTCTAGGGGAAAAGAAAAGATGCCTTCTTCAATTCTTTTCCCATTTCTCCCCTTTGTGGATACAGCTGTTGAGGGATTGGCCTAGTCTTCCTTGGGTGAAGAGGCCTTTTTATTAAAATGGCCCTTATTAAACATGACCCCAAATTTCTGTTCCTTTAGTCAGGAAATTCTCTCAAAATGAAATAAAAGAAACAAAAATATCTCTGCCCTCATTCTCTAGAACTCCAAAAGGCCCTAGCCCATCCCTTCCCCCAACTAAAATATTTATGTACAGACAAAGAAAACTGTCACAACAGCAACAACAAACCAAACTTTGGCCTTGGGGAAGGGACTCCATAAATGGCCAGTGGATGGCCAATATTTCCCAGTCTACACATTGCCCCAGAATCAATGACTACACTGAAGTCTCTGGCTTCCATGCTGTCTCCTCAGATATCACAGGAGATAGGATCTGAGAGCAGGATGGTCTGTTCAACTGCAGGCCAGGGCCCGGCTTACAAAGGATGCTTGATGCGGTCAAACGTCAGCCATTTTAATTCAGGGACACGAATCATTTATCAGTCAAAAACGTGTAGAGGCAGAGGCAAAAACAGTAACAAAAGAACCAAAACCCCAATAAAAATAAACCTAAAACAAACCAAAACAAAGCCAAAGCTAGTGTCTCTAAACTACTCCCTTTAGCAGCGACTCCTTAGGTAAACTGACCAGGGAGCCCTTTTCCTACTGCTTTCACTCTGGAGCCTCTATGGGACCCTTGTCATATCAGGCAGATCTAGGGGAGAAGTCCTTTGGAAACAAAACTGAAGCCAGGTTTCACTGTCAAGGCCCCTGCAGGAGGACCTTGCATTTTACACCCTTCTTCCAAGGTAGGCTTGGATCCCATGGCCTGTCCTGTTTATGTTCCCCAAGGGGCTCGAGTGCTTGCTGGGACTCTGGAGGACAGTGTGAAGCTGGGTACAGCGGTCACAGGGGCGGGAGACTCATGAGGCTTTGGAAGATGGAAGTTCCTATGGCTTTGGAGTGAGTACAAAGTGCCTCTGCCTGCCCTACCTGATTACCACACTGCAGGGACAGCTGACCTAGGGCTCGGCTCCTCGTCCTGCCCCAGCAGAGGCTTGTGATGCCCGTGTCACTCTGTACTGACTTTGTGCTGCAGGAGAAGGAAGGGACACCAGGCTGGACTTCCCTTCTCTCCTACGCACTCTTTAATGGCTCTAACAATCTGTACTTTCAGTCCTCAAGCTGTGCCCAGATACCTGGGGGATCTGGGCACTGACTACTCATTCTTCTGTCCCTGGGTCCTAGATTCCTGAATCTTGAGGACATGGGAGTAGCATGTTAATAAAAGAATAGATGAGCTGCACAGTGGCTCAACTAAAGGGGCAGCAGCCCAGCAGGAATGCTGGGGTTTTCTGTTTCCTATTCTGGAGCTCACTCCAAGATCAGTTTTCTACTGAGGTGTCTCACCCGCAGCCTGAGAGCATGCTGGGAAATACCAGCTCTGTATTCCCAAACCATGCCAGCACTCGCAGGCTGAGTGTAAATGATTGTAGAAAGAATGCAAAGCCAGGAGGGAAGAGGGGAGAAAAGCATCTTTAAATTCTCCTGTTTTACAAGTACAAACAGACTCCTACCTAGCGGCCTGTGGATTCCAGCCACAGCCAGTCAGAGTCTCCGGCCAAAGACAGGCCAGAAGAACACACTGCTGCAGAGCTGGCCCACTCTGCTTGCCCCCAGCCACTCAGCACCAGATACACTTTGGTAATTCTGTCTGCTGGCTTCTGATCCAATACGTTTCTCAGCTCCTTCCTCCTGGGCTGCCTCTTCTGTGACTGACAGAACAAGCTAAGCACGAACGTGGATGTGGAAATGCAGTTATCTTCTTTTTAACCAGTTTAAAAAATTAAAATAACAAAAAAAAAATCAAAAACAATCCTCCCCAAAAAAACCAAAAACAATCCTCCCCCCAAAATAAAAAAACCCCAAAAAAATCAAAAACAAAAAAACAAACAAACAAAAAAAAGCACAATCTTTGGAACAAAAGAATTAAAGGCAGAAATTTAAAGGAAAAATACATATTCAAAGAACATAGTGAGGTATAAAAAAGTATTCTCTCTTTTTGTTTGTCTGTTTTCCTCTTCATCTTGCTATAGAGTCCTCTACTAGTAAATATTGCAATAGCCAGGCCTCATGAACTGGGGGCTGTCCCATTTGCAGGGGTCTCACGTCACTTCAGTAGGGGGCAAATCGGCTGTAGCCACCTCGGTACAAACTCGCCTGCAATAATTAGAGACATAAAAATATTGAAAGGTGATGAGAAGCATTAGAAACGAAGCACCAAGTCCCGAGAAAGGGTCGGTCACCATCACTCGGGCAGACCAGGTGGGGGGCAGCACAATGGCTTACCCCACAATTCCCACAATGACTAGGCAGAGAAGGCAGACCTGGCATAGTTTCTAACTAGTTCTTTAAAGAGAAGTCCTACAAGTTTGCATTTGTGATGCTATTAGCATCCTGACAGGAACTGGACTGGGAACTCCCTTCTCACATGTGACCTGGGAGAGTGTGTTACTTCTGACTTCTTCTTGGCAGAGGTGGTCACATCCTGGCTTGAGATGATGCTACATTTAAACCTAAATCAGTCTTTCAACCAATGAAACAGAGCTCCTCCATACATCTACAAAATACAGGTGTCTCAATATCATGGGGCACCGATTTCTGAAATGCTCAGGATGCCCAAACTCATCAGCTCTAGTCCTCTGTTAGGAGGGTTTAGTGTTCTTGTATAAGCAGACACATGCTCTGCAAATGACTCCTCTCTCTAGTGTACGAAAGCCTACAGAAGGTAACGTGCTCTCTGTAAACCACTGTCATACTGCACTGTTTGGAGAGTAACGGGAGAGAGTTCCACGAGGATAATCTCTCCCTGATATTGTGGTGGAGTCTGTAAGTGTGAGCTGCAGATGTGCAGCGCCACCCTGGCTAGTTCCTCACTGTTATCAACTCACTTTCTCTGGTATCTTGTTTCTTTCTAATAGAAACTTCTCAGGAATCTTACCCTGAATCTTTCTTTCAGTGTAGGGGCTTTATTGTTTAGCATGAGATAAAACAGTGTCATTAGGAATGGCTTGTCCTTGTAGCTATAAATCCCAACCAGCAGGAAAGGCATCTAAGCCACATCCAAGAGGGCTGCAGAAAGAACATTAGTCCTATGGGTTATTCTAGACATGCTCTAGATGCTTCGTCCCTACAACTGCTACTAGAAACTGCCTCTACAGTGTTGACAATACCGTGAGTCCCAATATATCAGAAGGCAGGGGGATAGCAGGGACATTGTTAGACCTTGGCAATTAAAAATTGAATACACTGGGCTGGAGAGATGGCTCAGTGGTTAAGAGCACTGCCTGTTTTTCCAAAGGTCCTGAGTTCAATTCCCAGCAACCGCATGGTGGCTCACAACCATCTGTAATGGGGTCTGGTGCCCTCTTCTGGCCTGCAGGCATACATGCAGACAGAATACTGAGAATACTGTATACATAATAAATAAATAAAAATTGAATACACTACTGTGAAAACTGGGCATCTTAACATAACGAAGCCCTTGATACTATCGAGAACACTATGCATGCATCTGGCACTGGAACCCAGTCCCTTCATCTTCTTTAAATGATGTCATTACGTGGGGAAGACTGTCACCACCAATCCCTTCCTTCGCACTGCCTTTCCAGACATACAGTAAAGAAAAGGACAGAAACTCCCAGAGTCTCAAATGGCTTCAGTACCTTGGCAACAGATGACAATGTATCACTTCCCCAGATCTTTCCAAGTTTGTGTGTAGAAGTCAGGAGTAACATAGTTTAAGAAAAAATGGTATGCACAAGGTGGATGCACACATCTTTGATTCCAGAACTTGGGAGGCAGAGGCAGGCAGATCTCTGTGAATTCTAGGCCAGCCTGGTCTACAAAGCAAATTCCAGGACAGCCAGAGCTGCTACACAAACATACAAAAAACCCTTGTCTCAAAAAAAAAAAAAAAAAAAAAAAAGCATATAAACTTACCACAGCGCCAACTCCATAGCTGGCGGCAGGGGCGAGGGCATGGTAGGGGTCAGCTGTGTACACCCTGCCATAACTGGAAAAGAGAAGGACGGTCAGATGAAGAGAGGCGAGACTGAAACAGAAGGCCCTGTGCTGCAGACTTGGACTCATGATAGGGAAAATGGCAGATGGAAAGAACCTTCCTAGGGCTGTTCCTAAATGCAGTACCTGGGAAATCCTGATGCACTTCTGTAAAATGGCAGAGGAGGGATCAGATGAGGAAGAAAACTGGCTGTGATCATAGCCCATGAAGAGACAGGACAACAGAGTGAGAACAGCCAGGTGGTGGCAGTGCACGCCTTTAATCCCAGCACTCGGGATGCAGAGGCAGGTGGATCTCTGTGAGTTTGAGGCCAGCCTGGTCTACAAGAGCTAGTTCCCAGGACAGGAACCAAAGCTACAGAGGAACCCTGTCTGTGGGGGTGGGAGGGGAAGGCGCGAGAACAGGAAGAGCCGAGGCCTGGGTACTGGCATGGCAGGAGACCGGGCACTGAGGGCAGGTCTAGACATGATGAAAGAGGAAAGGGGTGACGCTCAGATGACACGGGGCTCAGGGCATCCAAGAGCCTGCTTGCCCTGGCTCTGTACATACCCGTCGCTGTAAGCGGCTGCAGCGGCTGCAGCAGCTGTGGCTGCGGTTGCAGTAGCAGGCTGTGCATATCTGTAGGCTGCATATCCACCCTACAGGAGAGAAGAGAACTGACTTTACAGCTACCTCTCCCCGAGATAGACACTCCCCCTCCCCAATACAGACGCACACATGTAGACACAAGGACAGACACAAACACAGACACACATGGGAAGAGATGTTTCAAACTGCACCAGTCTGCATGTTCCTCCTATGGTAGGAAGTCAAGCATTAGCCAATGTCAGAATTTGGTTTTCAATTTGTGACAGTAAGAAAAATAAAGCACACAAATACTATCTAGTAATTTTAAGAAATACAGATGTGATTTTGAATCTTATTTCACAGTGTTTTCTGGAACTCTTGATAGGGGAAATATTCATGGTATGTTGGGAGAACTCTGAGTACATGTATATAACAGAGCTAAAATCTATTACACCCAGAGGTGTCAAGTTCAGATTCTCTGTCCTGGGACTAGTTGGTTGCTAGGGAATGTAGCAGGTTTAGGAAGGTCTGACCCAGAGATGAGATCCATCTGGCCTGTCAGGTCTGTGGAGAATGACCCCGAGAAGGAAGCAACCAAGCATACCAGGCAGGAGAGCATCAAGGCCTGTGAGACAACTGAGCCTGCCACCCGCAGAGAATGTGGTTGTAAAAGGCAAATGTCTGACCCTAGTTCTCTAAAGAAAACCCTGTTAAATCCAGCCCACAACCCAGGGAAATAGGTTACAAGTGGTTTAGAAGCATTGGCTAGCACTGACAAAATCAGACATGCCTCTTAATCATTTAGCTGTTATTTTCCCCCTTCTGCAAGGATTCAAGGATAGTCATGTAATCAGGGCTCTTGAGATACGATACAACTGGTAAGGCCTCATTTCACTTATTCTACAATTCACCTACTTGATTTTAATCTAATTCAGATACACATTTCTTTATTTTTTCTTTTCTTTTCTTTTTGCAGTGGGGTGGGGGTGCTTTGAGACAGGGTTTCTCTCTATAGTCCTGGCTGTGCTGGAACTCACTCTGTAGACCAGGCTGGCCTTGAACTTCAAGATCTGCCTGCCTCTGCCTCCTGAGTGCTGGAATTAAAGGTGTGTGCCACCACCACCGAAGTATTTTCTTTCTTTTTAAAAATTAATTTATATTTTTTAATATATGAATGCTCTGCATGTATTCCTACATGCCAGAAGAGAGCACCAGATTCTATTAGGTAGATGGTTGTGAGCCACCATGTGGTTGCTGAGAATTGAACTCAGGACCTTTGAAAGAGCAGTCAGTGCTCTTAACCACTGAGCCACATTTCCAGCCCCAGGCTAAAGTATTTTCTAATGGGATCCTTGCTCTTCTCTGGCACCCTACCTAGCAGCTCTGGCTGATAAATCTCATTTTGGGAACATGTATAATTTTATGAACGTCTAAGCTTCCTCTAGTAAACTGCCAGCAGTATGAGGGAGCATCCATCCTGTTCTAAGACTATGGTGTAGGAAGTCCCTGTCAGCAGCTTCAAATATACCTTTCACGTCCGTGGTCCAGCTGCCATGCAGCATTCCTTTGCTGACCCTCTATAGGTGTCCAAAAGGGACAATCTGAGTCACATTACAAAACCCCGGCAGTGGCATGGTCCAGGTAGGAACGTGTCAGAAATACCCTGTGACACTGAGCCTCTGAGAGGACATGGGATGGTGAAACCGCTGGTTAGAGAAGAAAAAGTTCATCGTTATAGTTCCATCTTTATCTGGGCATAAAGGCTCAGCTGTTCATTCTGTTTAGATTAGAAGCTGAATCTTTAGGGAAATGTCGTTGTAATAAAAGTAATTTAGCACCATGTGCTTTGTCTCTTTAGCATTCCTTCAAAATAATCTTTACAAATTTAGAAAGCTAAGACAGTGAAAGGAGCTAAGGCCTGGCAATCACTTAGCTAGATACAGCACTTACTTACAGACTGGAGCAGGGCTGTAGGTCCCACTGGTAGGACAGACTCAGGCCTGATCCCTGAGAGCTCTGAGTTGTGGCTGCTAACTGGGAGAAAGGGCTCCTGAACCAGGTAACTGACAGCAATGGCTCCCTCAGTAGCTGAAGTCCTTCCCACTGGGCAGGAAGTGGGCCTTTTCCATCTGCAGTATTTGCTTCCATGAGTGGCTTCTAACTTTGGGGTTTGATTGATGAAGCTCTCTGTGGTTCAAGTGCAGGATGGGATGAAATACTTTACTGGCTTGGGAGAATACGGGCAATAAGAAAAACCCCATTAAAGTTCTTGGGAAGCTCTGAATCTTTCAGCAGTTACCGAGAAGTCATTGAAAGGAGGGCTGCATGTGGGAGGGAGAGGTAATACTTTTCACCAAGCAAGCCGGGAATTCACCAATGCCTAAGGAAAAGAGCATCATCTGGAAACTACCAGGAAGCTATTTCTTTCAGATCCGAAGTCTTTTTGCTGCTGCTGCAATTGAGTATTCTATAGAACATTACACAAAACTCAGGACAAAGTCTACAAAATACAATCTACTTAATTGTATTCTAGGTTTCAGAGTGTGCAAGGGGCTAAGAAATTTCCCCCAGACTTTAGACAGCAAATTTGAAGGTTTTTTATAGAACACGAGAGCAAACTGCAGTTTGAAACACCAAGGTTTTCATTACTGTTTCTTAAAATTTTCAAAAGAACAAGGTGGGAGGAGGAGAAGAGGGCTCAGGCGTGGGGGGTGGCGCCACATTAATATTAATCACATTAAAACTGAGCATGCCGACATCCGGAGCTAAAACAACAGCAAAACCACCACGTCCAGACTGGCACTGGCTAACTCTATCTATCCCAGCATTCTCTTGGGACAGCGGTTTGCCCTAGGCTCTACCACAAGCTCGGTGAAGTACACAGCCTCAATTACTAGAGCGTGCAGCCACAACGACCTGGCATTACGGAGACAGTCAGTCACCACTTGAGTTAACATTCCATACCCTAACAACTGGCCCTCCCCAGCCCGAAGGAGGAGTAAACCTTGCCCACCCGAGCCCTGGCCCATACCACAATGTTAATAATTATAACAAGCAGTAACCCATCTGTTATATCAGAGAAGGGAACAGAGACTCCACTGAGAGATTTAGAGTGAGATGTTAACATTTCTTCAGCTGACTGCACAAACAAACAAACAAAAAAAGAGGAGAAATAATTCGTTTGGAGATATGAGGTCATGAATAGCTGATGTGTATTGCTTTTAACCATGCACTGATGCAAAACTGAAGCAACCATTAATAAAAATTAAAAAGGACATATGTATTTACACACAATCAGACCTGTTTGATCTGAAGCAGTTTGCAGATTCTATCTGTGTGTGATTTGAAATAAAACAAAAAATGGGGATTAGCATGGCCACAGCACACCATAGTGTAGGAGGGCACACACAGACGGCTTCTGGAACTCTAACAGCTGCCTAAGTTTAGCATGGCTAAGCCTGGTTTAAATACACACATGCCCCTTGGAAAACACTTAGTTTCTTTGTAACCTTTCTAAACAATACCTAGTGTTCCCAATTAGGTGGTCTAATCCTACATTGTTTTGCTATTCAACCTGCCTGGTTCTGGCACTAGAATTCAGACCCAACCCACAGAGCTCACCCAGCTGCTCACTCTCTGGGAACAACTGCATATTCTTATCTAGTGTTCTTCCAAGGTTTCTCCTATATCTGAGAATTTTGTTTTCTCAATTATTTGCCATATCTTTGCTTCTATTTCCAGCTTTTCAAAGCTAAATGCTGTTGCTTTTGCCCCTTCGCTAATGACTTTCCAAAGATGTTAAAGGAAAGTCTATTTCCTGCAGCCCAGTGTTACCTCCTGGAGGTTGGCTACTCTTCCTCCCTGAATCAGTTTTATCACTGAATTAACTCTGTACCACTGGGACTCTTCTGTACCATTTCTATAGCTATGTTTGAGTCAAAACAGATTCTAACCATCAATCCCCTGCGCGTGACCCTTGCCTGCACATCTACAGATTTTTATCTTATCTTGATTTTAACCTTGACTTTAATTTTATTGTATTTTTGTTTCAGGTTTACATTAAAACAGGACTTTGGTGAGCATGTGATGTCAAGACACCTTCTCTCTATCTGAAAGACAATGACATGTGACACCAAGGAGGAGAGTGTGCAGTTCAAGACCAGCAGACAAATGGAAGCTTGGTATCTCATGTAGTGTGCACAGGACAGAGCAAGGCAAGTGTGTGCGTGTGTGCGTACGCATGTGTTCAGGGGACTGGCAGGCACGATGGTTAATAGCATCAGCAAAGAGTAGATCTATTCCACTCAGCAAAGGCCTAATGTTTGGCCTCTAACTATTGGTTTTGGCCCTAGGTGATCCTAGTGCCCTCTTTTCCCACTGCAGCTGAGAGCCATGAAACAGTGAGTTCTCATGAAGACATGACACAGACTTGATTACAAAATTACAATCTGTGTTCTAGATGGCCAGATCAATCTACTCTGGAAAGTGTCAGTTAAAGTTCTATCTCATGATTATTTAAATTTGTGGCTAAGGAGAGATTATTATGATCAACTTAAATATCTTTGACTTACATGATAATCTTTAATGAATTTCAAATACTTTACTATTCTATATCTCTCCAAATTAGTTCATATCTAAAACGTGAGCTAACTGGGTTATGAAGTAGTGGTCAATTTTCCTCTGCTAGCATCCAGCTGTCCGCAAGCCCTCTAACAGGCTTGCTATTATCCAACACTTGCTGACCTTGTCTGGGGAGAGGAAAGAGGGCACAGGAGCTACAAGTCCCAGTATGTCCAGATCTGTAGCAGGCTCACACTTGTGCAGCAGCACAGTCCACCTCTGACTAGGACTTCACTATGCAGCTCAACACGGGACTCAAGGAAGCAAGAAAGCCTTGTGCAGGCAGACGTCTGTTTCCTCCTTTTGACATTTCATTCAGCAGTTCCTCAGCTGATAAGATCTCTGATACCAAAGACTAGTTTAAATAGCACAGGCAAATGTGACTGACAGGCTGAAAGAGGCAGCAGGGATGGGCTAGTGCAAGTGGCATGTCTGTGCAGATGTGTGCTGACGGGACTGGAAGGCTCATCTTGCAGGAAGTGACGTGATGTGTGGATGTGATGTGTGCACTGCTGAGGTAGCAGGCCTTAGATCACACGCTCACAAGTCTTGATTGTCCAAAAAAGCCTCTGTTCCCATCTCTAACGTGGAGCTGGAATGGTTAGTATAATTCAATTTTTTCACTGCAATCCACAATCTGATTGATTGGCAGGTCACACTGGCACTCCTACCTGAGGTATTTTAGCGCTAATGATTGGTTCCTGTAAGACTATTCTATAACAGAACACAGGAAGAGCAGTTCAAAAACACAGCTGTGGAAGAAAACAATCATACAAAGAGCCCACCATGGGCTGCCAGCCTTTTCTTTCCTTTGGATGCAAGCATGCTTTTCACAGGTGAGAATCAGGAACAGTTGTTATCCCATTTAGAGGATGAATTAGGGTGACTACGGCTTTTTCTACCAGGAAAAAAGGGGACAGCAGGGATGGGGATGGGCACTCACCTATCCTGAAAGACCAGGCCTCTTTACAAATGGAGGACATGATGGCTAGATCATCTCCAAACACAAGTGTACCATGAGTAAGCAGAAGTGCCATCAGGAACTGCTCTGAGAGCAGAACAGGGAAGAGGACTTGAGAAGTAAAGCCAGCCTCCCCAAGTGTCTTCTGCTCATGCTCTGGCTGGGCTAGCATCTTTTACACACTAAATCCTGCACTCATCCTATTCTAGGTCACACTTCTGAGGAAACTACAGCTAAGGGTGCAGTGACAGATTCCCAGTTAGGAAAATGTGCAGAGAAAAGCAGAACAAATCCAAAGCCAGACAGACATCTGTTGCTTGTGATTTTAAGACTCCTTAGCTCCCTCACACTCAACCTCAGACAATCCGTTTAAGCAGTTATAGTTTGAAGAAGATACTGTGGTCTTGGTTTTCACTAGATGGCTCAGATATGGTCTCAGCACTAGGGATCAACTTTTTTTTTTTCCTCCTCCTAGCAATACCAACATAGATGGGAGAAAGAAAAAGGCAGCAAACAGGCAGCAGAGCTTTAGCAAGGGCCACTGGGAAGGAAGGGTACTGTGGCCAAACCACTGCATTTCTTGCTTAGCTTCTATAGATTACTTATTTAGATTAAAAATAAGAACAACGCTGGGTAGTAGCAACTTACGCCTTTAGTCCCAGCACTCGGGAGGCAGAGGCAGGTGGATCTCTGTGAGTTTGAGGCAAGCCTGGTCTACAAGAGCTAGTTCCAGTACAGGCTCCAAAGCTACAGAGAAACCCTGTCTCGGGAAACAAAACAAAACAAAACACCCAAACCCCCCCAAAACAAAAAACCCCCAAAACTAAAAAAGAGAAACCCTTAAGAACACCTTCTTGATGGCACTGAAAAATCAAAAATCATCTCTTATTAAGATGTTACAATGTAAAATAAGGAAATAGGAGAACCACAAACAAATATTTAGTTGGTTGGTTTAAGGTAGAAATAAGCAAAACCAGAATAAAAGTAGGATATATTTTAGAAAAATCTGGGTGGTGGTGGCACATGCCTTTAATCCCAGCATTTGGGAGGCAGAGGCAGGTGGATATCTGTGAGTCAAGGCCAGCCTGGTTGAGAGAGAGAAAGAGAGAGAGAGAGAGAGAGAGAGAGAGAGAGAGAGAGAGAGAGAGAGCCAAAACACTCAGCGTTACACAGAGAAACCCTGTCTCAAAAAAACCAAAAAAAAAAACACCCCAAAACAACAAATCCCTGTCCCCCAAAACAACACAAACAAAGTCCCAAACAAACAACAAAACCCTCAGTTAAGGAAATAATTCAAACGGAAAGCCTGCTCTACCAGAGCAGATTCCAAAAAAAGTAAATGATACGAAGTTGAGTTTTCTAAGAATATGGAGGATGCATATACTAACATCATATGTAAATATGCACATTCAGAAATGCATAATCTGCCCAGTCTCCAACTATAAACATGGGAAAGGTACTTCTAGAAGATTTGCTGAACAAGTATTAGAATTAAAGTACAAAGAGAGCTTGTATGCAATTCTGGCAATCACAATCTGAGACACGGACTGATGACTCATGACTAAGGATCTTTACTAGGTAGACACGCTTAAGGCCTACTCTAAATAGTACATGCTCAGCATGCTCTCCTGACTCGGTGCCTTCTGAATGGTCTGACCTCAGACTGCCGAATAAGCAGGTATCAACAGCCTCAAAGCCTAGAGAGGTGAGGCTACAGAAAGCATCTCCTGGGAATGCTGACCTGCCCTACCGAGTAACTTCCTATTTATAAAACTGTCTTAATGATTTGGGTCGGTAGACTATGATAGCATTCAGAAAAAGACCATGTGGAAAGCTCCCTACAAACAGTCTTCCAAACTCAAAAGCTACCACACTTTGTACATCGTTTAAGAGTATGTGACCAAAAAATCATGTAACTTCACCTCTAGCTAGATGGATGATGGATTAAATGCCACTCTGGCTGATGGAATTGGCAAATCTTCACCATAACTGAATGGTTTTAAGAGTCCAGGCTGTGAGTTATGCTCCTCAGATTCCCTGGCTGACCTCTAAGGAACAGACCCCTGGCTGTGGTCCTCATCTGAGATCCCCTAGTTACTACATGAGCCTCTGAATATCAGCTCCTTGATGGCACTTTCACAAGTTTATGCTCTTTAGATGACGTAAAATCAGAAAGAACACAGCTCAGAAAGCGTATTGCCGTTTACACACACACCAAAGCCCTAATGTTCTGAAGAGGGTGTGAGATGGGAAGGGAAGCACAAAGAGGGGAGGAGCTGGTCAGGCTAAACTTGTGCTGCTATTCATGTATGCAGATGATGAGACAACAATACGACTTTAAACCTGCTGATCATCTCACAAGGTAAGAGATGCCCAGAACACTCGTGAGCGTAGGGAAGGGGAAGAATATGTCCAGTAGACTGACCCCAGCAACCGTCATGAGACCCAAAGGCTTAGTTTTTGCACCCAGGGGCAAGCGCAGTGGCAGAGAAGCATGCTTGCATTCTTAAAATATATAATATATATATCCACAAGGAAAAAGGAAAACAAAAATTAAATTATATTTTTTAAAAAGGAAAACAAAATAAAACGAAAATAAAAACAAACTAAACAGAAAAAAAAGGCTGGCTTGTCAGGGGATGGGGTCAAAAAGGCCCCGGTGTATGTACTTACATAGAGGTCAGCACCGTAAAATCCGTCCTGGTAAACCACACTGCAGAAATCCACACAAAAACAAAAACAAAAAAACAAAAGAACAGAAACACATTCCGGTTATTGAGGACGGCAGCATGCACATGCGCTACACAGGCAGGTGATGTATGAATGTGACCTGGACATGGGGCCGCGGCAAGCTGTGACAGAGATGTGCCAAGTGCACACGTGCGTTCCACGGCTCCAGGACATGCAAGGAGAGCTCAGGGTCTGCAAAACTAGACCGAGCACCTGGACACGGGGTAACTCAGACTAATGACACAAACAGTGCTCCTGGCAGGGCCTCATGTGGCTGTCTGAGATCTGCTGGTTTAACAGATCGACTTTAGAATCTGGAGCATTTTTAAATGTAAGTGTGTCCTAGGAGAACGCTGTTCTTTAAAAGCGTACAAAGGGTCGGGGTGGTGAGGGATTAACTTCAGGAAGAGAGTGAACAAAACGAATTCCAGAACCTGTGTGCGAAGTGTGTTCCAAATGATGCTTATTAGTGTATTTTCATTTTCAAAGTAAAGTGTAGGCTGTTCCTGTTATCCATACATCACCTGCTTTTCACCCTGCACATTAGACATGCGATAAGATCTGGCTGATCACACAAGCATGCAAAGTATTATTATTCAGCATTTTTGAGAACCAATGCAACACCTTGGAAAAACAAGTCAATCAATTCTGACCAAAGTAAACAGAGAAATGTAATTAAAATAAAAACCAAAAGAACAAAACAACCAAAAATACCCACAATGCATTGCTTTCACAAGCAGAGGTAATGAGCTCAAGGTTAAGGTGATTGGTCCAAGAATTGAAAGGTGCAGTGGGATCCCAGATAGTAACAATATAATCCAGAGTGGGAAGGAGCAACTGGAAGATTTTAAGGGTTCTTTCTTAACTAATAGTCTAAGAATTCTGAAAACTACAATTGGTGATGGAAGCACTGTGCATGCCGAGGCCTGTCCTGTTTGATTTAAACAGTGACCGAGGCAGCTTTCTCTCACATTTGTCAGGTCAGAACTTGGCTGTTTAAATGTATTTTCAAAAACCTGTTTTTGTTTATTCAGCTAGATAAAATGGACAGTTTCTTTCTCCAGTTATAATGAATAAGCTAACAAGTCACAAGGTCACACCTTGCGATGCACCGAATGCTAGGCCTGTTTTGCGCTGCAGGAAAAGCAGACACACTTCCGGTGCCTGTAAGCAGGCTTTCCCTGTGCAGTCTCCATTTGCAGCTAGAGTCTGGTATCAGGTTGAATGTGCCTCTCCAATGCATTTTCAAAAAAGATCTGTGTGGGAGAAGGCTGATGAGTGGCAAGCATGGAGGCCAAGAGGATTAATCTCCATTAATGTCAGTGAGGGAACACAGGCAAAGACTACAACACATTCCTTCTATAAAGAATGTTGCCATTAAAAACAAGGATATTTTTGTTCTAAGGCAAATCACTTATTGTAACTATTTGAATTCTAGAAGAATTCTGATCATCCCTGTACCCAGTGCCGTAAGAGGCGAGAGAGCACAGTGACTCACAAGGCTGAAAGCAGTTCTAGGCCATTCCCCATGAAATACTGGACTTATTCCTTGCCATCTTCCATGTAAAGAGATGGTAGTTAATAAAAAAGAATACAAGGGAAATTAGTGTTCAATGCAACGCACAGAAACTGACATGATCAGACAAAAAAGATTTGTTTAAGCAAATCTATATACCTGACAGAGACTTAGTAGAGAACGGTTCTTAAGTTTGGCCAGTATACTGAAAGGACCTACACTGAACAGAAGTGAATTCTGCTACTTTATGAAGTAGCTCAGGAAGTCACAACAGGTAGTCCTTAGAGTCTGTGCACTATCCTGCAAATGTGGCGACAGTGAATGCTTTCGGGTTGGAATGGGAGACGCATCATGAGCAGTTTTTCTAGTGTGCTGAGCTTGCAAAAGATGCACTTTCATGTTTCACTCAATTATTTCTTGGTGAAACAAAGCTGTATCTTCAATTAATTTTTTAAAAAAGAGATGTCAGAGGTTGAAGGTCAAAGGTCAAGTTGAGACAAAAAAGGATAAAATTAAAAGCAAGTCATGGCAGAAGATGGAGATGATGGAATGCATGGGATTTAATTATCTATAAATTGCAAATGAAAGTTATTCTCTGAAGCAGTTCCCTTGCAGTGTCTTGGAGTCTGCCCACTTCAGCATGCATACTTGCCTTGTCTAATAAAAATGCTTTAATTCTGTGGCATGGAGGACTCCTAATGGTATGTCCATTGGTCTATGAATGAATGAATGTTAAATTAGTATACCTCCTGGTGAAGCCAATTTTGCTATCAGAAAGGGACATGCTATCTTCCTTTATGTTTTAACTAAAAAGCAGCTAATTGGTTTTTCTGCAGCTATTTATATTTCTCCAGAATATAGGAAAAAACAAAACAAAAACAACAACAGCAACAAAAAAAAAAACTTCATAGGCAGAGAAAAGATGAAGAAGAGAAATGTCAAATCTTTTAAAAGAGAAAGTCCTTGGTACAACTGAATTAGAGAAGTTCACTTTATATAAAAATATACGTTAGGCTGACACAGATAAACAACTGAAAGCCAATCTGCCATCTTCCCTCCTTTTTCCCATTCAAAAACAAAGGATTTTTTTGTTGCTATGGAATCTTTCCACTGCATGAGACACCCTCCACTCCAAACGGAAGACGAGGATGCTCAGCTACACCAGCTGCTACCGTCTCAGAAGCCAGCTGCAGCTGATTGCTCCTACTTCTCCCTCTCTCCCTCGATTCAATTGGACTTGGTTTGTCTTTGAATTCACCTCTTTCAATCTGTTTCCTACAAAGAAAGCAAATCCATTGTGGGTAACTAGCTTTGCTGCTCACTACCCAGGCAGAGAAACCATGGGGTGGGCACATGTGCTGGCCTCTGGCCCACATGGGGTGGTGAGACGGGTGAGCACAGCAGACACAGTCTGGCACTAAAATCTCCAGCTCCTTTCTCAGTTCTCTGTAGTAGTGTTAATTCACACTCGTGCGCTGCTGAGTGAACTCCATGCCAACACACCGCTAGCAAACACAAGACGGCTCTGGCTACTGTCTTAAGCCATCACCATGAAGGCTTAAGGTGGCCAAAACGAGGGTTTGTATAACGAATTGACCCTCGGTCACATTTCTGTATTTTGGTTCTTGCCCTCTATCCATTGATTTGAAAATATTCACACAGCATCTAAATGCTGCCCAGCAACATCCTAGAAATCAGAGAGGTCTTCCCTTCTTTTTTTATTCAATTGCTCATTTTAGAAACATGATTCTGGAATCTAATGCTTACCCTGGATAGGCGGGGATGGCTGTTGGAGGTACCGCTCGGACTGCACCATACACTGTCCGCCCTCTGCCCCTCAGATGGGCTCCTCTGAACGCAGCTGCCGTGGTGGCTGCAGTTGGGTAAGGAAAGCCAGGAACTAAAGGGAGACCCAAAATATAACAGAAATTTCAACTTGCTTTCAGGAGCTGGTACAAAACCAGACTGAGAATTAACTGTGGAAAAGGTAGAAAAACAGGTACCAAATCTTTCCTGAAAAGATAACAAGTACACTTATTAATACACCCCCGACACTGCAGCTTTGAGGGAAGAAGTGGAAAGAGAGACACAGGATGATCAAGCGATGAATCCGTGGCTCACTCATCACAAATCTTGAATTTACTCTCCCTTTTAGGTGTTTCCAGGAATAATGCATGAGGAGTTTCTACCAGAAGCAACCCAGAAGACCACCTCAGTAAGATGTACAACACATAGTTTCTGTGGCGGTTTAAATCAGAGTAATATACATTTTAACTAGTCAATTATTAATTTCATCTCTAGTTTATTTATCTATTTATTTTTTTGAGGCAGGGTTTCTCTGCAGCTTTGGAGCTTATCCTGGAACTCACTCTGTAGACCACACTGGCCTCGAAATAATAGTGACCCACCAGTCTCTTAACTTCATTTCTATATGTTATCATCATGTAATATTTATTCCTCAAAAGGAATGTTCTTTATATATTTTTACATGGTACTAACCTCCAAGGAAAACAACAGTTTTTAGAGAATTCATTTGTCAACTTTCTCTAAAATATGTATACATTTGTTTTTTTAAGACAGGGGTTTTCTGTGTAGCCCTGGCTATACTGAAACTCGCTCTGTGTAGCAGGCTGGCCTCGAACTCACAGAGATCTGACTGCCCCTGCCTCCCTAGTGCTGGGACTAAAGGCGTGCGCCACCACTGTCCAGGTGGCTCTACAATATTAACCTTTCCGACTATGCTGTATCCTTTTACGAGGCAGACATTTTCCAAAGGCCTGTTCTAAATATGCTTTGCTCTGGAAGTCATGCAGAAACACCCCACTCTGCTGAGTCCAGTTGAGTCACACCTCTTCCCAGGGGAAGAGGGCTTGGGTCAGAGTGACCTAGAAAGAGTAAGAGAGTGGAGGGTAGTCCCTGACAGTGGAGCTGTGCTAAGTGGTACTCCATGGGAGAGTGGGCCTGGGGTGGCGAGAAGGCTTGAGTAATGCAGTCTATACACACTCATGTCTTTGACTCCCTTATGATCAAATATAGAGAGGATATTTACATTTTACCCTCTGCATACTTTCCAATGATTTTTGTTTAGTGGAAGCTTCCAGTGTGTGAGTTACACAGAACAGGGCACTGTGGTATCTATTATCCTTTCAAGAATGCCCCCCCCCCACCCCAGCCAGGCATTGATGGCGCACGCCTTTAATCCCAGCACTACAGAGGCAGATGCAGGAGAATTTCAGTGAGTTCGAGGCCAGCCTGGTCTACAAGGAGAGCTCCAAGGCAGCCAGGGCTGTTACACAGAGAAACCCTATTTCAAAAAAACAAAACAAAACATCAACAAAAAAGAATGGTTCTCTTTTTTTTTTGGCAGTTCTATATCATGCTAGGAGAAGAAAAACAGACCAAATTAGCATGTCAGCGGCAACAGTAAAAACCCATGCCAGGCCGGGCATGGTGGTGCACACCTTTAATCCCAGCACTTGGGAGGCAGAGGTAGGCAATCTCTGGGAGTTCAAGGCCAGCCTGGTCTACAGAGCAAGTGTCAGGACAGGCTCCAAAGTTATACAGACAAGCCCTGTCTCAAAAAACCAAAACCAACCCCCCCAAAAAAACCCCAAAAAACAAAAACAAACAAACAAACAAAACAAACAAAAAACCAAAAAATCCCATGCTAGATCAGTGTAGGCTACTTACTGATTAGAGGAATGTAAGTGTTGATGCCTCCTCTTCCTGACAAGGGCACAGCCGCCTCATTGCCTAGGGACACATCAGCTTGAAAGCTGGAGGCTAGGCGCATTTAAAAAATTAAATAAAAAATAGAAACGTGAAAAGATTACAAAGACACAGCCACATGAAAAGCACAGAAGGCATTATGTGTCAGAAAGGGAAGCAGTACAATACTACCTGCATATAATTCAGGGCCATACACAGCTCCAACTACTGGACTTAATTTCCAGCCTGAAACAGAAAAGAAGACAGTGAATGGGTTATAACTATGTGAACTCTGCATGTCAAGATGGTCCCAGGCCTCCCTGGACTGCTTTTCCTCCCAAGGTTAGACTTTGTAGGAAAGGGCAATGGTATCATCTTTAAGCAGCACCACTGGGGGGATGAGGGCCTGGGCAGGTAGGCAGGGGTGTACAGTACAGAGTGAAGGGCTGGGAAGACAGAGGGACTGTCTAGATCCGATTGTCTATGGATACACCGGTGGGGACTGGCTTGATTATTAACTGATGCAGGAGAGCCGAGCCCGTTGTGGGTGACATCATTCCCTGGGCAAGTAGTCCTGTGTTATATAGCTAAGTCTGAGCTTTTCAGCAGTCCAGTAAGCACTGTCCCTCCAGTTTCTGCTTGAGAGCTGCTCTGAATCCCCTAACAATAAATACTTGCTTTTAGTCTGAGTGTTTTATCACAGCAACAGACTAACTAGAGCAGAGGAAGAAAATGGAGAGAAGAAGGTGGAGGGGTGAGAAGAAGAGGAAACAGAAATGCACCGTGGGGTTTGGCAGACAGGACCTGCTCTGAGCTTAGAAGACAGGCGTTGGTGCCAGTGACAACGCTTTCTCATCCACCACCTTAACAGGACTTTCCATTAGAGGCTTCGGTAAAGTGAACTCTGACTGAATTCAAATGTGACCTGGAACCTGATGGCACATTCAGCTGTACCACACAAGTTTTGTAGGTAAATGAAATCCCCTTTCATAGTAAAAGCTGGGGATCAGTAAGTAGAAAGGGAAAGATAGGCAGTAATAAAATACGAAGTCCATTCCCATCTTTTGAGCATGGCTTCATGGCTTCTGAGGTTTTAATTTGTAACAAACATATTTGATGAGCATATTACTCAAACTCTGAAGGACAACACAGTGATGTCAAACACTAAGTTCAAGATTTAGAAATGTGGAGTTTCCAAATAATACTATGTTGGGAGAAAATTTATTGTTTTATATACTTACAGGAATACAGCAAGTATTTTGTTGGTAAGCAAGGGATATATGCTACTCTCTCTAGTAGTGAATAAAACTCTATATAAAAACTCAAATATCGGCCAGGCGGTGGTGGCACACACCTTTAATCCCAGCACTTGGGAGGCAGAGGCAGGCGGATCTCTGTGAGTTCGAGGCCAGCCTGGTCTACAAGAGCTAGTTCCAGGACAGGAACCAAAAGCTATGGAGAAACCCTGTCTCGAAAATCAAAAAAAACAAAACAAAAAACAACAACAAAACAAAACAAACAAACAAACAAAACCCCAAATATCTACCGACTTTTCCACAGGAGAAGCAGCACACCTGCATTTATTTCCTAGAGGGGCCCGGGCTATGACTTCACTTTCTCCACCATGCATGTATGTGGGCTTCATCAGGCTTGGAGGTAAGCATCTTTACTTACTGGGCTCTATGCAATCCAAGCTATGTGCTCTGAACTCATTATTCTCCTGCCTTAGCCTTGCTAGTACCAGGGTTACAGGTATAAGCCACCATTATCTGGCTGAAACACCTCAGTCCAATCCCCGTTCTGATAAAAATGCTCACGAGGGCCAACAAGACGGAAGGCACAGTGAGTAAAAGCATCTGACACCATGCCTGCTTGATTCCTGGATCTGTATGGTGAAAGGAGACCAGACTAGTGTAGGTCTGAGGGCGTCTGGTTTCTATGTACATGGACCTGCACACACCTCCCAAAATGAACACGATGCTCATGTGGGCACTCATGAACAAATTCATTTCCTCCAGAGCTAGGGTTTCAGGTAGTTCAGGGCCACCTGACATGAGTGCTGGGAACTGTACTTGGGTCCTCTCTGCAAGATCAGTATGGGCTCTTACCCTGAGCTGTTACTTCAGCCCTAAATTTTGTATTTTTCAGAGAATTTAAACTTATTTTGTATATGAGAGTATGGGTGTGCCAACGGAGGGCAGTGGAAGTCAGCGCTCTCCTTTTCCCTTGCTGAAGCAAAGGCCTCTATTGTCTCTGCTACTATATGGTATATTTCAGGCTGGCTGGCCCAAACTTCTTCCTGTTTTCCTGTCTGTCTCGGATCCCTGGATAAAGTGCTGAGATTACAGATATGGGTCAGCAGACATGGCTTTTCATAGAGGCTCCAGCTACTGAACTCCACTGTCAAAGTTTGTACACCTAGTACTTTTACCTTAGAAGCCACCTTTCCAGCTTTTGTTTGTGTTGGGGCAAATTATTCACTGAAAATCCCACTTTCACTAATATTCATTAAACTCACTACATGACATGTCATCATGGAATAAGAAGCTACACCCTAAAGCCCCATGGAAAGCAAGGGATCGAGACCTACAAGAGACTAGGCTTTTCTTTCCCACTAATCCAGATCACAGTCATCTGAAGAGACCAGTGGGAAAACACACCAGGGCAACCCGGGCAATCCCCACATTACAAGGAACTACAGGAGACTGAAAAGGAGGATGCTCACAGGCTACCTACTCTGCTTTAACAGGTAGCCTCAAGCAATGGTATTGTGTATAGATGAAAGCTATTGAGAACAAAACACCTTTGTAAGTAAAAAGCTTAGTTGAGTTTTAAGGAAAAACTTGAAAGAAGCTGGATGTGAACTGAGCAGATGGTCCTAGAAAGCCATGAAAACTCCACGTATTTATGTGAGGACAACATTCCCCCAAGGCAGCTAGTAATTCCTCACCATTTGCATATGGTGTGACCATCTTCTTATTGGTCATGACGCGTGCTGTGGCATTATTCACCTAAAAATAATAGGCAGACAAGAGGGGAGGGAGGGATATATTAGGAAACATGACACTGCTTATCCAGTAATACAGTAATAATTTAAAATGTAAATTTCTGATAGCATTTAGATAATTAACACAGCATTATGAAATATTCATAGGATTTTAATGCAAGTGCTTATTAAATGAGGCTAACAAGAGTAAAATGCAGTTTCCTGGTCTCTTAAGAGAAAACTGTGGTTGTTCTTCCTCTTGGCACTCAGAGAAAAGGAGCAGTTACAGGTTCTCTGGCCAGCCTTGGGCTGTCTCTGTACTGAGGACAATTTGGCAAAAAGTAAAAAGGGAACAAGTGTGTCTGCAAATGAATCTGGAGCTTGTTTGTAAAACAGAGGCTTGCCACCTTCCTCTCCTGCGGGTCTACTTTTCTTTTCTCTATACTGTTTGGGATTAGTACATAAATACAGGAACTATAGATCCCAAGTTAACAGTTGGAGGGCCATCCTCAATTTCCTAGACCACATGAATCACTCATTTAAGATGAAGTTTCCCAAGGGCTTTTGGCACAGGTGCTCACAGTGAAGATTTGAGTGTTTCTCCTGTGCTGTGGTCCTCTCTAACCCCTAACAAAAGCATACAATCTGGGCATTCTCCACACCAAGGGAAGCAGGCCTCACAAAGATGGTACTGCTACAAAAAGGAAGGATGAAGCCTAGGAGCCAGGACACTGTGGGCGCCCTCAAGACCAACCCCAGAGTTCCTGTCAGAAAAATAAAGCCTCACCATAAACTCAACCATAGCCAGCCTTAAGCTCAGAGCTTATGAAATATAAACGTTGTCTCATTTACTGTTTGAAGCAAAGTCTTACTAGGCAGCTTGGGCTGAGCCTGCAATTTGCTATGTAGTCAGGTTGGCTTCAAACTTGTGATCCTCCTGCCTCAGCCTCCTGAACACTTAGATTATATACAGACTTGTGCCACCATGGCCAGCCTACATTGTCTGTAGGAATATACATTGTGCTAGATTTATGTTATGAAGACCAATTTTAGGTAAAATTGGAATTTAGAAACATCTGATATCTTTTATGATTTGTAGGGTGACCTCCCCGCCCCTCCCTGTGTGAGGACAGCTTGAAACTCCATTTACTCTAGTTTGACCACCAGATAATGTAAACATTTCACACTTACAAGGAAAGAATGGAAGACAACAAGGATGAGACTGCGAGCATGCAATTAACACACACAAAGAAAAGAAAGAAACAGCATCGAAAAAAGAGGGGAAATGAACAGCAAGGTCGGAATGGAACAAGAGCTTGAACTAGCGACTAGAGCAGAAAGCCACCAAGCAATTCAAAGGAAAAACAGCCAGAACCAACCAGACACTACCAGTCAGCAAGAGACACCAACAGCTGCCAGACAGAGGAATGGGAGGGAAGAAAGGAAGGAATGAGAAGCCACAGAAAGAGAACAGAGTGGTGGGGAAAATAGGAGAGAATGTGAGGGAGGTATCAGCGGAAAAGAGCTGCACAGGGGTTTGGGAAAAAGGGAAAAGTTGGGGTAGGAAGTGCATTAATAAAACCAGCCAAACTGGAGTTCAGTAACTCTGAGTAAGATGCGCAAGGGGAAAAAAAAATCATCATGAAGTCAGTAACCAAACAGCTCAGACTGCTACAAGACAGGATGTACATCCAAAGTCCAGGCGACATCACCCCACAGCAGTGAAAATAAAAGGGGCGGGAAGGGAGAGAAGCAAGTCAAACCACATCTGGTAGTGTTAATGTGAGATGGCAGATGGACTTTTCTCTCTTAATTGTTTTGTGATTACATTTTAAAAGCTTCTTCTCTAGCACTTTCGATTCACTTACCGCCAACGGGCACCATCGCCAGCATTGTGTATAGTTACCATGGAAAGAGTGAGTCAAGTGAAGGGCCCTAAATGCTAAACCATTGAAAAGGGGGAAAAAGCAAAATATGCAGACATCTTACTCGAATGGTGGCTTTTATATTTAATACTTTTAAAAAAAAACCGGTAAAGAAGAGAGGAGCCAGTTAACCTTCAATGCGTTAGTCCCTCTAGTGCTGGTGAGCCCAGGGGCTGACTTAGCAATCACAGTATCTGTCCATCTATGCCACCAGCTGCCCTTGAGCCCTCTGCTATCAACTCTGTAATCAAGTCTTGAAATTCTTGGTATTAAGTAAAGTTTAGAACTACCAGAGCTTTGGACTCTGTCCTCCCCCCAAAACCTCCACCATCGTCTATCCACACTTATCAAACGCAAACGGAGGGGAACTGGCCTCCAAGACACAGCGTTACAAGCTAGGTAGTTTTCAAACATTTTAAAAGTTAGTTTTGTTTAGGCCTCATACAGGAATTCAGAGTCTTGCAGAAACTGAAGCAAAGAAAAAAACATCAAGAGAGCAAAGGATAAACATTTTGGAAGAGGAAAAAAGGGAATGAGAGCACAGGTAAGCACACATTCCCCGCCCCCAACTACACCTCAGACAGCCAAGGGGGGAGGGAGAAGCAGACAGGGTGTTACTTTTATATAGTGTGGTGCAAGGAGGTGAAGACAGACACAGACAGGTGTGCACACACGGACAGGACAGGCTTCAAATGTGAAATAAGTGAGGCAGTACACAAAGAGAAAGAAAAATATAAACGAGAAATTGAATTATTGAAGACATGCACCTCGATTTTACGGCCCTCTACCACGGTGCCGTGCAATTTCTCCCTGGCCCTGTCTGCATCAGCACTATTCTCGAAAGTTACGAACCCGAATCCCTGCATGCAGCGGGAGAAGGGGAAAACATGCACATGGTTATATTTAAATACTCATCTCTTGGTAAACAGAAAACATCACAGTATGAAGTGACGCCAGCACAACTAACACCAGCAATTTCTTCCAAAGGCACAGTTTTGATCCATGCATTTTGTAAAGGGAAATTTAAACCCAATAAAAGGATAAAGAACTGTAATAATAGTAACAGTAACTTAATTAACAACAATAACAATAAAATATAAAGTACGTGAGACCAGACCAAGAGTAAGGTAGGAAGTTACTTGGGTTAAACTATTTAACCAAAAATCTGAACATAAAAACAGAACCAAATCACAGAACTATTATTACCATGTGCACAGGCACACATTGGTGCATGTGGCCAGCAGAGGTAAATGCAGTGTCTTCCCCAACTGCTTTCTACCTTATTTTTATTTATTCTTTAAACATGTACTTATTTAGTGTGTATGTGATGGGCATGCACGTGCCATGGCATACAAGAGCGGGGTATGGGTTAGAGGACAACTTCCAGGAGTTGGTTCTCTCCTTCTAGCTAGTGGGTCCCAAGGATAGGACTCAAGCCACCATATATACATACAGCTTTAAAAAAAATTTGTTTATGTGTGTGTGTGTATGTGTGTGTGAGTATGTGTGTTACAATGTGTGGATGGAGGTCAGAGGACAACTTGAGTGAGCTGGTTCTCCTTCCATTATGAGTTCCAGAAATCAGTCTCAGGTTATCAGGTTTGGCAGCAGGGACCTTTAATCTGCTGAGCCATCTTGATATGTCTGGCTCCCCCACCGCATGAGTGCGGAGGATCAAACTCAGGTCATCATGCTTACAAGGAAAGTACAAACTGAGCCATCTTTGCAGACTCTGTGTTTTTCCTCTCAGTTGACTTGCTGACCCCCAAATCTATACTTCTTTCACATTCAAGGTTAATGGCTCCATGACAGGATTTAAAGTCATTATTTTAGCTCCACTTTACCTTTGGGAGTAGGATAATTTAGGACAGTAGTGAGGTCTAGTTCTGTGGGTAACAGTTGTAGAAGCAAGGGAGACTGCCAACAAACCACAAACAACTAGAATGTTTCTTCAAAAACAATTTTAAACGATCAGATTGGCACTTTACAGAAAACCTGTGTACAGCTGAATTATGGAAAACTGATACCCTAACTTGCCTAAATATCATGTATCTGTTACATGATACATCTCTGCTGTTAAAGGTAAACCAGTGACTTTCCACATGAGAAAGAGAAGAAACAGGCAGCTCACGACCTGTTTATAGACTACCTCAGCAAGTGCCCACCAAGTCCACCACCGGGGCACTGGCTCTGTCCACCTTCCACACTGTAAATTCTCACTTCCTAGAAGCTAACACCTGCAGAGGGGACCCTCAGGACTCCTGGGGAGTCACTGCTGTGTAAGCATAAGCAGGCCTCCACATATAAACCCAGCTTAGGCAGATGTGACCCTTCAGCAGTCCAATGGAGCTTTTCCACCCACAATTTGCATACTGCTACAGATACTACAGGAGGGCATGCTCTGACAGAGAGCAAATGGACGTTTCCTGTGGTGGAATATCAGGGGCAATTGTTCTTAGTACTCTCCTATAGAATGTATACATTTGTTGAAAACAGTAATAGGAAAGCATTTTCAGATATACATTTTAATGTTAACCTGTTGTAGGTACTTTGATAACCTCAAGGTACAAAAGGCAAGTTACTAAGGATGCCAGTGTCTTTCTTTTTTCTGAAGATGATCAGATCCTGAAGACAAGAAGCCTAACTTTCCTACCCGAGACTCTACCAATTGGCAGGCAAGGAGAACTGGTTTTTAAGAAAGGTCACATACAGTGATGAGTTTTTGAAGATTTACTTGACTTTTAATTGCCCGTGTGTCTGTGTGCACATTAGGTGCAGGTGCCTGAGGAGCCCAGAGGCATCAGGTTCCCCTGGAGCTGGGCTTAGGAGAAAATGAGCTGTTTGACTTGAGCTCTGGGAACCAAATTCAGGGTCCTGTGCAAACATGACACATTTGTGGCCTACTGACCCATCTTCCCAGGTCTACATTAAGAGTTTTTACATCAACTTGAAAAGAATTATAAACTTCCTTCCAACTGATTCTCAGAGCCGTAACTCTTATGTCTTTGGTTAAGCTAATAAATTATAGACAGCTCTGACTGTTATGTGGAAATGTAGACTTGGTTTTAACAACAAGACTGCCCATGTGTACCTGTGCACCAACACCCAAACTGCACACAGCTGTCCTAGTACAGCTATGGGGACAGGGCAGTGAGGGCAGATCTGGTAGATACATTCTACAGGTAAAGAATGATTTAAAATGAAAGGTACCAGCCTGTGTTACACAGTGATGTTAGAACTTCAGCTTGATGGACTGCCTGCGGACTCTATTTGCTAAGTTGCATTATTCTGCAAAGCCCTCGTTTCTTTTATAACTCAGCCATGAAGTCTCTGATGGCTTCTCTTCTGGGATGTGTATATGAGACATAAGCAACACAGTAACTATGTCAGAAGAACAGAGGTGGCATCACAGGCACTGACAATTTCCAGGCTGCAAATGACAAAGTTTAACACTAACATTCATGTTAGGGGGTTCTCAGTAATGACTATTTGGGGGAAAACTGCATTTTCAAATGTCTAAGTGTTTTATATTCTAAGGTGATCAAATGCCAAAGGAAATGCTAATCAAACTAAAGACATCAAACTAAAGCAGTCTTCCCAGCAAGTCTTCCCTGGTGAGCGAGGAAGAAGGTCACTTGATGGTTGGGATACTCTGATATGAAGCAGAGGTAAGATTTCATTCTTCTCTTTGAAGATAAACAGAGCCTGTGTAGGCAGAATAATGCTCTCCACCCCCTAAGTCCCTCAGATCTTAATCCTTGAAGCCACAGAATATGTTACCCTGCAAGGCAAAAGGGATTTTGTAGATGTGATTAGATTAAATGATTTCAAGGTAGGGCGATTGCCCTGACAATCCTGGTGGGCTCAATGCAATACCAATGGTATCTACAAAGCAAAGGAACACAACAGGGCCAAACTCCAAAATCCAATGTTAGTAGCTTCAAAAAGGTCTGGGCCTGACAACAGAGGGGCCACAGACCAGTAACAGCAGGCATCCTCCAGAGGCCCAGAAAGGTAAGGAGCTTCCCAAAGCAACATAGCAGAACTTTCAGTTCAACTCCCTAAGACTCACTTTAGATGCCTGACCTCTAGTGCTGTAAGGCAATAGACACATGGCTCTTAGCCATCTGACTTCGATGTGGGATTCCCCTCTGTATGCTGTGATTACCACTGATTAATAAAGAAACTGCTTTGGGCATGTAGCAGGGCAGAACAGAGGTAGGCCGGGAAAACTAAACTGAATGCTGGGAGAAAGAAGACGGAGTCAGGAGAAGCCAAGTAGCCCCCACCCCCACCAGAGACAAATGCTGGGACAGAACTTTACCCAGTAGGCCACAGCCACATGGTGATACACAGATTAATGAAGATGGGTTAGTTTAAGATATAAGAGCTAGCCAATAAGAAGCTAGAGGTAATAGGCCAAGCAGTGATTTAAATAATGTAGTTTCTGTGTGATTATTTCTGGTCTGGGTGGCCGGGAACTTGTGGTCAGAGCACCCCCCCTAAGAATCAAAGTCTATTTGTTAGGAGGGTAGCCAAGCATTTTTGTTAAAACTTTAAAAAGACATTTTTTCCCATCAACCTAAACCCCATGCTTCCTTATCTAACACATTTAATATTCCAGTTTCAATACTATAAACTTGAAGTTTAGAAAAGGCATAGGAACTATACTAAGGACAACAACAGCTTCTCTGGGCTTAAGGGTCATCCACAGAAAAACATGCTCAGAAAACCCCAGGCTTTAATGTACCTCTATCCTTCAAAACTGAAGTAAGTTAAGTCTGAACCTCTAGTTTTAAAGGGAAAAAAATAAAAAAATCTAAATTTAACACAAGCAGCTTTAAAATGACCATATAAGTTATGCTGAAATATAAAACTCAACCTGTATTAGTATAATATATACTAATAAATATGTGATATAATTTGTAATAAAGGTAATTACTCATAATTTTTTTTTGAGACAGGGTCTTACTATATAATCCTGCTATCCTAGAACTCTCTATGTAAACCAGGTTGCCCTTGAATTCAGAGATCCACTTATCCATTGCCTTTCAGAGTACTGGGATTAAAAATGTGTGCCATCATGCCCAATTTTGGGGGGGGGGTTTCTCTGTGTTACCCTGGCCGTCCTGGAACTCACTTTGTAGACCAAGTCGGCCTTAAACTCACAGAGATCCACCTGTCTCAGACTCCCTGAGTGCTAGGATTAAAGGCCCACGCTACTATGCCTGGCTTACTCTTAAATTCTTAACAGGAGGAAACAGTTCAAGTGTGTAAGGCAATGATAATACTCTCATTGATAAAAAGTAAACTTTTTTTCATTAAAAAAGATGCCACGTTTGCTTACATCAACCTATGCAAAAGAAATGTGTGCCACATGTACTTGAAACTTTCTGATAGTCATTAAAATAGGAGATGAAATTAATTTTAACAACATATTCAATCCAGTGTAATCACGTATTTTCATTTCAATATGACAGTAATATAAAAATCCTATTAGGTGTCTAGCGTTCTTCCTGTGCTAAGCCTCTGCAGTCCGATGTGTGCTCATGGTGCGAATCTCAGACTTCTTCACATTTCCAAGGCTCACAGTGGTTGCCACAGTGGACCACACAGGTCTATACATACTTGCTGTAGGGCTCTCTGTCCTCCAATGCTAATGAAACATTCTAGTGCTGCAGAACTGCCCAACTGTCTTAGCTGTACTTAAGAAACAGAGCATCGTGTAAAGTGCATGGCCGTGCTCCAACTTCTATCAAGAGGAATAGTATGTTCATACCTGCCTTGAAACCCATTTATCATCAATGACACACAGGAGCCAAGTAACTGTCACCTTTTTGGTCTGGTCTCAGGTTGTAATAAGCAACAAGCAGTAAGATGAAACAGTGTAAAAACGTTCTTTTAAGTTGTGATAATTTTGAATTTTTCCATCTCAGAAGAATGAGAGAGAAAATTTACCACGTAATTTTTAAGGGAGAAATCAAAAGCAGAAGATCTCCTGGGTGTGGCCAGAACACAGAGATTACAAAAATAAATGGGGGGAGGGAAACTAAAACTCAGAAAGTGGTCACAAATAAAAATAAACGAAGCCTTCTGGACACATATATTGTTAATTAAGTACAGTGGAAAACATTTCACACCATCATCTACCAACTCTACTGAAAACCATAAAGGCTCACTTAGTGTGACTTCAAAGAAAATCTTTTAACCATATTTGGAAATAATTTATCTTCATGTGAAAACAGAAGCTAAGGCAATGGTCAAGACAGCAGGGCACACACAGCTCGTGTGTGTGTGGACGGGAAGACACTGCGTCTCCGGCACTCCATCTGAAGCAGGGCCTGTCATGAGGATCCACCCGTGAGAAGGAATGAAAGCACGCAGGCACGCACCAATAAGCGTGGGAATCGTCACGAAAACCTGCTCTGTAGTTAGGTGATGGTGAAGAGGAGTGGAAAGTCCCAAGTTCAACAATGGGGTGAATGTAGGAAAAAACTCTCAGGTATTAGAACCTACAAGCAAGAACTATCAGCTTAAGTATCCCACAGCTAATGGCAGCCATGGCTTAGAGTTCTGTTGAAGAGTCCACATGGGACACCAGTACAGAATTGAAAACCAGACTCATGGGTGGACGTGCTATTATGGTTTTTCTTTACGTTCTACTTTTCATTAAGGGTCTGTTTTCCCTCTAAAAAGGTAAAGTTGGTACTCAAAGGAGTTACAAAGAGAGTAATACTGTAGTTTATTATTTAAATTGGGTCATTTTGAGGAAGAAGGGACATTATGAATAGCTAACAAGACACCAGGAACAGACTTGGCCTAATCTAATGACAACTAGTCTGTCTAGGTAACCTAATCTAATGATGACTAGTCTGTCTAGGTAACCGCACGATATGCTGTCGCTCTGCTTCTACTAGTGAAATCTGAGAATTATAAAGCTGTGGATCAACTCACACTCACTTCTCTAGAGCCTTTGAGGGAATGAGCTAATTTTTGGGTCAGGAATACTACTTCTCATCACACATTCACAGCAGACTCCACAGGGGGAGCTGGAGAAGGCTAAGCAGAGTGCAGGGAGCACTGCTCATCCCCTTCCAAATGAACTCACTATAAAAAAAGACAGTTTGGGATGCAGCCCATTGGCCGAGTGCTTGCCTAACAGGCAAAAGGTCCTGCGTTCCAGACCCAGTACAGGGTGGGGGAGGGTGTTTTTGTTTTGGTTTGGTTTTTGGTCTAGAATAATTTGGTTCTATATTAATGTACATGTCAATATCACTTATTGTGGGCTAATTTATGACTAGTTTCATTACTACTTAAAAACTTTAATAAAGCTAATTTCTGCATAGAGAGTATGCTGTTTAAAAGCCAGGGCAGGGCTTTTGCTAAAACCACAGTACCACAAGAAAATCTTTCTGAAATTTTGTAGTCAACTCCAAATATATAAAAGAAATGAGAAGCCACGTGTGGTGCACACCTTTAATCCCAGCACTCAGGAGACAGAGGCAGGGAGATCTCTGTGAATTCAAGACCAGACTGGTCTACAGAGTGTTCCAGGGCAGCCAGGACCACATAGTGAAACCCTGTCTCAGAACGCAAACAAACAAAACAACAAACCGAGAAAGGAAAAAGGAAAGAAAAGAAGAAGGCTTATTCCTTCTCTTGGGTGGATCCCAGGAGACATCGTTGGCCTGACTCCACCCCCACTTCTCAGTAGATCTTCAGTAGAGTCCCAGGGCTGCCTACAATGAATGGGAAAGGCCTCACAGAAGTCAGGAAGGCAAAGGTCCCATCCAGGGTTTTCTCTTCTGAATTCTATGCTTTGCTCTGGATACACTTACCAAACAGCAGTGTCTATAATACAGCCCAAAGAAAGCAGGGGCAGTGAGGACACTGAAGTTACAGAAGCAATACACACCTCGAGGGTCCCCAAAGGGAAAAGGCAGGCATGTGCCATTCTTTTAAAATGAGATTTCATGGGAGAGGTTATGGCGAAATTAAATATTGGAATCAGATGAATCATGAAGTCAGTGAAAACCTTTAGAAAGCTCAGTTTCCTTCCCTTACAAGAATTTAGTCATTCTTTTTTGTCAGGACCAAGTGTTCGGTACCTGGGGCAATTACACTGGCCTTCAGGCTGGTACAGCCTAGTCAAGGTTATTTGAAGTACTCACAACTTAAGGCCAAAACTGTCTCAATTAACTACTGTAGATAAATAGTGTGGTCAATGATCTTCATTTACTGATTTTCATTTTCATCTTCATTCGTATGCTACAACCTTGAAGCCATGGTTATTTTCCCACTTTGTAACTAAAGGCTTAATAAAAATAAATGTAAGGAAATACAAGCATCAATAATTTTACAGGTTAGTTAACAGATTCACTTGAAAGATACTTACCAGGTTAAGTGCTGGAGGAAGGTCTGTATGGACATATTAATCTTTTTTTGTTTTAAATGGAAGCTGGAAGCTTAAAGTATAATTACCTCTTTAACAATGAATAAATACCAGTTACTGGTATACTCTATAAGGGATGCAAGGGTACTGAGGCATCAGGATAGTGTGCATGTGTGCATCCGTGAAGGTGGGCGGGAGGTGAGGGCTAGCAACTACTAAAGCACAGGAATCTGCAGCGGACTGAAGAAAGGTAAATGTTAACTCATTTACTCCATTTAGCTTTTTCTTAAATTCTATTCTTGGGGCTTTAATCATGGCCAAGACCTATTTGAAAGCAGCAGACATGACCAAATAAAAATTAGTTTTAAAATGACTAATTAATAAGGAAAATATTTAAACTGAAATGTGTAGAGGGACTGACTACATACACTAGCATGGACAGATACTCTGCTCATTCTAATATAAACCCTGTTGTCAGCCCAGAGCACCCTGAGGCTCGCTCATGGCTGTGACCTCACTACTAACTGAGTGGAGGCTTCTCAAAATTACTCCAAAGAGAACAAGCGACCGGGGAACTGAGAGAAAGCAGCCCTCACCGAGTTGTTCTAACTAAGCATGCCATGTTGGCATATCACAAATTGACTCATTCCAAGAGAACTCAGAACGGATTTTCACATCCTCTTGGTGCCTCTCTGCCTGACCCAGGCTGGCTGAGGAACTTTGCCTCCTGCCCTTGGATCTACCATACTCCTTCTCTCTAACTCCCCTGCTTCCCGACACCCTCCCAATGTGAGCAGCCTCTTTCTGGAGAACTTAACCCAGGAAAGATACTTGGTAACACGGGACCCACTTCTGCTCCGTTCCAGTGAAACAAGTCTCAGGAAGCTGAGCACCAGACACTGACACAGGGCTTACCTTGGAGCCGCGCTCATTAAAGATTATTTCCACATCTAGGATTTTGCCAAACTGCTGCAAAGACAAAAACAAAGGCACTTACTTAAGGTCAGGCTTTGTCTAGACACTAGCCCTCTTTCTGAAGGAGACAGCTTTTCTTCTTTGAACTAGTACTCATTTAACCTGCATGTTCCCACGTGTCAGCAGATCCAACATGAGCTTCTGAAAGGGCCCCATTGGGCCAGTGGCTCCTCTATCAACTCAGGTGTGTATATGTCCATGTGTGGAAGTCACAATCCAAACACTGCACATAGATGTCCTACTGGGTCTTTTTCTAAATGCTACCTTAATTTTTTTTTTTAATGTCTCAGTTTTAAAAAGTTAAATTTCACCAAACAGAATCAGTACACTGTTGAGGGCACTCTGCTCCCACCCTCCCTCCCTTAAAAACAGTACAAAAGTTAGATAATATAAGGAAAAAGAAAACAGAGATTAACCACAGGCCTTCCATTTTGGACCACATGGCCTTCTATCCTTTTTCTCAGGCATACAGATATAACAGCAGATGAATGTCACATACTGTTTTCGTTTTTTGAAACTGTGAACAATGACTGGTCCCAATAAACTTGTGTTTGTTACAATTTCTATACTTAAAAACATTTTTTGACATAAAAATGATTTCCACTTATTTGCCATTTTAATAGTTCTGTAACAAAATTTTAGGAGTCTTTTAAAGTTAACAATCTGTTCAATAGTTATTTAAATATCACCTCAGAGCTAAACCATACAGAGGCACGGAGCTCTACTCTTAGCTAAGCCCCACACATCTATGCAGGGTTTGTATCTAGTCACGCGAGAGAGGTGCTTGGGTACAGTCTGAGTGAGAGGGAGGCTGCAGGGCCCACTCAGGCAGCACCGACTTGACCTGCCCCCCATTATCTGCTTCATTTGGGTTTCAAACTAAACTATACAAGGTTGGAGAAAAAGTCCTGAAAAATAGAAAAACATAAAGCAGAAATGCCTTTTTCATACTAAAGTGTTAATGCTTCAATCAGTAAATTGCTAAAAGCCCAAGTTTTCTATGTTAGATACTTGTACTTGATTCTAGCTTCATCATTAACAGAAAACTGAGAAAATGAAGGAAAAGAAAAATGGCTTTTATTATATAATAGTATTTGAGAAATTATTTCTATGTCTATCTTATAATAACTAACATGGAATGTTAGGCTGTTATTATTATTTTTTTTTAAATCTTTTCTATTGCATTCCTTATTTCCAAGACAGGGTCTCTCAGTATAGCCCTGGCTGTCCTGGAATCTGTTCTGTAGACCAAGCTGGCCTTGAACTCAGAGATTTGCCTGCCTCTGCCTCCCAGGTGCTGGGATTAAAGGAAAGTGTCACCACAGTCTGCCTCTACTGCATTTTTTTAAAAAATTATTTTTTTGTACATTGGTGTCTTGCCTCCATGTATGTCAGTGTGAGGATGTTGGGTATCCTGGAACTGGTGAGAAATGCCATGTGGGTGCTGGGAACTGAACCTGGGGCCTCTGGAAGAATAGCCAGTACTCTTAACCGTGGAGCCATTTCTCCAGCCCCTTCTATTGTATTCTTATAGCGTCTTTTTTTATATAAAAGTTTTTTTAAATTTGTGTATGTGTATGTCTGTGTGTGTACATGCATGCACATATCTATGTGGGTGTCCATGAGGGCCAGAAGACTGTGTTGGAACTTCTGGGCCTGGAGTCACAGAGGTTGTGTGACTCACCATGTGGTGCTGAGAACTGCATTCTGGGCCTCTGCCATAGCAGCAAGTGCTCTAACAGCTGGGCCATTTTCTCAGCCCTTTCATAACCATTTTTTTGAGCAAGGTCTGCCCTCTTTTATGATTAAAAAGAATGAAGCTGAAGTAGCTGTGCTGGCTAACTGAATACAGCACGGAATCCCTGCTTTCTCAGTGTTACTGTTCTAACAACAGGCAACCAGACAGAAGAGACACCCAGATGTCCTTTGTAAAGAAAAAAACGTCTTCCTACTTTATGCTTTAGGATAAGGCATGAATCATTTTGAGAAATCACTAAAGGACCAAGGCAGCTCTTGGAAGGCTACATCCTTCTGACTCAAGAGAAAACATCACTAACAGATGCCAAGCCTGCTGTCCTCAGCATACAAGACTGAGTCTCTACTGTCTTTGATGGGTGGTCAGAAGAGCCAGATAATTCATTTCCTTAGACGTGCCTTCTTCCACATGTCCCTTCTACTGTCTGTCCACTCTCCTTCCTCTAAAATGGGAAACAGCTGTCACCATGACACATGGGAAAACTTTTTAGGTACTTCAAGAATGTCATTACACCTTAACTCTGACCTTATCTTTGATGGCAAAAATATATCCAGGTAGTTAGCTGTGACAGAACTTGGCTCCCATGCCTTGTCACCATGAAGTGGCACAGCCAAGCCATGGGAGGGCATCTGTTCTGACAAAGCTATCCTATGAAACATTTAGGGAACTATTGACTGTTTTCTGTCCTAGGTCAAGTTAATAGCAGCCGAAATAAAGAAAGACTTAGAAGTCATTCACTTTCAGCAATAGGACTTTGTGCTAATATACATTTGCTTTTGTGACGGTAATTTGAGGAGGAAGCGAACCGTTGAAGGAACTCATCAGAGGTAGGAAATCAGTGTCCCACGTTTTTAGGTGCTGGACCTGACACTACTGAATATGAGGGTTGAAAACAAAGTCCTGGAGATACTGGTATTACTTCATTTACTTCTAACACTCAAGTTAGAAATTACTTCATTTTTAAATATAAACTTCAAGGTCAAAAAAGAGATTATATGAATTTCCCAAGGCCCTAAATAATTAGAGTTATATCCTAGGCTCTTTAAAATGCCATTCCTTATTTGTTCCATTTAGATGCACCACCTGTACACTGCATGTGTCCTGAGACAGTGCAGCACAGAGACCAGAACTAATGCATCCCGAACAAGGGAAATGAAGAGGATTGTGAGGGGCAGGAGGCAGAAACATGTCAGGAAAATGAGCATGCCGTTACACAGAAATCTCTTGGGAACCTTTTATAGTGCAGATGTCCAAACTGCACCCTAGGGAAACTAAATCATACCTGGGTGGACAGTACTTTTTAGGCTCCCCGGAGGATTCTAATGCACCCACAGGTTAGGAATATGCTATAAAGGATCGTGGATGTCTGTTCTTTTGGTAAAACCAAGAATATTCCTGACATGTTCACTAAGGTTGGTTGGTGTGAGAAGGGTGGTCACCTCCGTAGTTTGGGCACTGACTATCTCATCTTCAGGAACGACCTCAGTCCTAGCTAGCTGCATGTAGTTTCTATGTCTGTGTGACAACCTGTAACACTAATGTCTAGGGTAGGAAAAGGTTTTCAGACAAAAGTGATTTACTTAAGGCTCTTTCTTAACTTCCTTATAGTTTCACCCTAAAGTCCTAATGACTAATAGTATCTCTGGTGGATTAAATTGTTTCAGTTAAATCCATAAAAAGGTATTAGAGACTTACCCCAAACATCTGCCGGAGATCAGGGTCCCGGAAGCGGAAGGGAATATTAGAGACATGTAGTCGCTTGGGGGTGGATTTACTCTCTGAATTTTCACTACTTTGTGTCTGTGACTGTTGTCCATCTGTCTGTGCTCCACCTTCTGTCTGCTAAAGAAATAAGTAAACACAATGAACACCTTGAAACACAGTAATTATTTCCCAAGAATGATGTAAAATGAAGTTCTCCTCTACTACAGTATCTGTCAAACAGTGGATGTGTAAGCAAAGATTTGTTACTGCCCTTTTAAAGAAGAAAAAGCCCAAGGTGTCATTGATGCTCAAAATGCTTCTAGTCTACAAACAAAATTTGGGTCTTTTGATTATTTTTAGTCCATTAGCAAAATGGGAGCACTGGCACAGAACCCTCTGTGGTTTGCTGAAGCCCACGTGGAGATGTAAAAATAGCCCTTCTCTTCTCAAGCCCTGAGTAGAGCCTTCTATTTTTTGAGACCTCTCTGTTTTGAAAACAAAACATCCTTTGTGCTTGGTTGTAGAGGTCATAGCCTCGTTAGCTCCATTGCCTCAGACTCTCAAGGAAACCAGTAAGGCAGCACTTTAACATTTTATTCTCTTTTTGGTTTCAGAGTTTACAATGCTATTACTTATGAAGGTGGAAAAACCTAGTGATGACAGTCAATTTACCTAAAAATTGAGGCAGCTTCTTATCTTGAATTCATCTTTAATCTCACCTCTCCCTGATTCAATTCCAGGTGACTCTGGTATTAGGGGATACTTACCTGTGTCCTAAATGCAGGTTATGTTTCCAAGGCTTTATGGGGCCTGGGCTATTAGATAACACACTAGTCTGTTTGTGTCCATGGTGACAGAGTACGAGCATCCTTTCCTTTGAAATTTTATTGTGTCTGTATGAATGTATGCATGGGGTGGGGTATGGTGTGCTGTGGAAGCCAGACAAGGGTACCAGATCGCCTGGAGGTGCAGTTAGACTGCTGTTAGCTACCATGTGGGTGCTGAGAATGGAAATAGGGTCCCCTGCAAGAGCAGTCAGTGTCCTTAACCAGAGTCATCTCTCCAGCCCCAGGTAGTAGACAGTTTTAACCAAACATAACATACACATCTGATCTAAATTTTCCCACACCAACTCTTCAAAGTTCCTATGTTGATAAACAATATTTTAAGGCATTTATAGGATTGATATATTCCTTGTGGTCCTCATTTGGCAATTTAGCCTTACATTTTTACCATTCCCTATGCAGTGCATGTCAAACCTAATAATTTGAGCTGGTTAAAACAACATACATTTAAAGAGGAGTGAAATGGGCTGTTCTTTCTAGCCTTTTAAACAAAATAACACAAACAAGACAGGGTCTCTCATGTAGCCCAGGCTGTCCTGGAACTCAGGAGATTCACCAGCCTCTGCCTCTCAAGTGCTAGGATTAAAGGTGTGCACTACCACCACCCAGCTTTATTATCTTAATTGAAACAGAGTCTAGCAGATTCTGAGTGACACAGGGAAAACTTTCCTTAACCCAATGTTCAGGCTCTGTGAATCAGAGGTACTTCTTTTGGCTTAATATGAATCCTGAAATAAAGTCAGCAACTTAAAATATAAAGGATAATCAAGAATAAACTTTGAATGAAATAAACATTTGCTTTTTAGCTTTTCTAAGAATGGCAGCTTTTTTTTAATTTGTTTTTTGTTTTATGCACATTGGTGTTCTGCCTGCATGTACGTCTGTGTAAGGGTGTCAGATCCCCTGGAGGTAGAATTGAACCTGGGTCCTCTGGAAGAAGAGCCAGTGCTCTTAACCACTGAGCCATCTCTCTAGTCCAAGGATGGCAGTTTTGCACTTCATCCCATATAGGCCTTCCTGGTGCATTAAATGTGTAATGGCTTGTAGGATGTAAAAATAGCAAAAAAAGAAAGGTTATAGAGCAATGTTCCGCAAAAGTGCAGGGTTTTCAACTCCCAATGGGAGCACAATGCAGACTAAACAAATTCAAAGATGAAATAGTATCATGAGCACCTCTACATAGTCAAAGCAAGAATCATCAACTGTAACGAAATCTTATTCAAGTCTCTCTTATCCCACAACTGTATCACGTAAACCCCTTTCAATCTTTAAAAGCACCAGATTTAGTCTTTAGAATCCAACCTGCCACACAGCGAGTTTTACATACGACTTACATGTGCCACCATGTTGCCTGTTGTGGTGCACGTGCACTGGCAGAATAAACAGGGAGGAGTGATTCTTCAGAGCTGTTGTTCCTGAGGGTTTATTGTCCTGAAGACTAAATTTAGGAAGGTCATAAGCAAAGAGTGGCTGGTTCTCCAGTCTCTAGTGAGTACTTGTTAATTCTAGGAAGACCTGGCAAGTAGCAAGCTGAAAGCCATTTTCAAAATTTTTAAGTCTTTCTTTTTTTTTAAGTAAATTTGTTTTTATTCAAAACATTGGGTGTTTTGCCTACATGTATGTCTGTGTGAGGGCATCAGATTCCCTGGAACTGGAGTTACAGATAGATATGGTGACTTGCCATGTGGTTGCTGGGAATTGCTTTTAGCCACTGAGCCATCTCTCCAACCTCCAAAATCTTAAGTCTAGGGCAATTTAAAGAGAAGATTCGCCAGGCAGTAGTGATGGTAGTGGCTCACACCTTTAATCCCAGCACTCAGGAGGCGGCTCAGTGGTTAAGAGCAGTTGCTGCTCTTGCAGAACCATAAGCACAGGCCTGTATGAATCTCCATCAGAAAGTACACCCATATAGCCAAGAAACTGGAGCAAGAAGCAGGGCCCACTCCAGTCCTCAGTCCTTGCCAAAGTCATTGCTGTGCTAATTTGTACACCCACCTCCCTTCCTTAAAGTACCCCACTGCATAAATAAACAGAATTCATCTTAGTTAGTGCCTGTTAACAATAATTTCTTTGTGAGCATCTCATTCACGTCTTTGGGTACTAGCTGAATACATACCCAGGAGTGGACCTGTTGGGTCAAGAACATGTGGGCCTTAAAGTGGCTGTACCTGCTGGGCTTGTGCTCTCTGTACTTGCAATACGGTTGTTGGAGTCCTTTTGGTGGGAGACAATGGCTTTACATTGAAGCCAAACGTATGTTTTTTTGAACACTGGTAATCTTAAATATCTATGCAAATCTTTTATCCATTTTTAACTGGGATGTTTGGCATTTGCTTATGATTACAGGTGTTCTTTATAAAACAATTACTCAAAAAATTAATTTACGCTGTATGTGTGTGTGTGTGTGTGTGTGTGTGTGTGTGTATGAGCACGTGGGGGATGGGGGTTGCCCTTAGCTGAGGGATTTTAGACTTGCCTTGAGGGAATAAGGGTTTGCCTCCCATGAACAGGGCTTCAGATTGTCTTTCCTCTCTTTTTTTCCTGCCTGTTTTTCTCCCTTCCCCTTCTCCACTTGCATGATTTTACTAGAAAACAGGAATTCCCCACATGATAACTATAACTATTTATTTAATGCATATTGTATGTTAGACCTGCCCTAGGTTTACTAGCGATCATATACTAGCTAAGGATTTTAATGTAAATTTTTCATAACCCTACACAGAAGGTAATTTTTTTCTTAACGAGCATAGTAGATGCTATTTTAATCCTCATTTCTAGATAAGAAGTCTGAGGAATAAAAAGGCCGGGACAGGATTTTAACCCAGGTAACCTAGCTCCACAGCATACGTTCTTGTTTTTTTTTAAAGATTTAAAAATTATATTAGTTATGTATAGTTTTTTATGACTACATGTAGGTATGAGCACATAAGTGAAGAAGCCTGCTGAGGCCAGATGCATGAGATTGTCTGGAGTGGGACTTACAGATGATCACACAGCAAACTGTCTCCAAAAACAAATAAGACCCCAAAGATGAAAAAGTGTACATCTGCACAGGGCACACGTGAGAAGTATCTGAAGGACTGGAAAATGTCTGTGTAAGTTCATGATGAATGTGAGCACCCAGGCTGTCGCTGTCCTACCACACATCACATTAGGATACACAAAACACATTATAATGTTTTAAGTAATAAATGAATCAGACGATGATGACTGAGACAAAGTTCTTGCTATGTAGCCTTGCATGGCCTGGAACTCATAGAGATCCCCTGCTATTTTATGATTATTACAAAACTATTATAAAACTTTATACTATTTGCTTCATATTTTTTTAATTAAAGAGACAGAGTACCATGTAGCAGAGTGGTTCTTAACCTTCCTAACACTGTGACCCTTTAATACTGTTCCTCATGCTACGGTGACCCCCCAAAATTATTTTCATTGTTACTTCATAACTGTAATTTTGCTACTGTTATGATCATAATATAAATATCTGTTATACAGATGGTCTTGGGTGACCCCTGTGAAAGGGCTGTTGGACCTCTAAAAGGGTAGCGAACCAAAGGCTGAGAACCACTGACTGTAGAAGCTGCCTGGATGGAGCTCCTGACCCTGCTTTCTCCATCTCCCAAGAACTAGGGCCAGCTAGTTTTTAAAACTCTTGTGATAACACTTAGTTTTAAAAACATAAACACTGTACAGCTACAGAAAATGTTTTTTTTTTTTTTTTTTTTTTTTTTTTTAATCTGTGATGGTTAGCGTTGACAACCTGACACAACCTGGATCACCTGGGAAGAGGGTGTGGTCACTGAGTGACAGGAGTTTTCTGGCTCCATTGTAACATTCTTTTGAGATAGGTACTTACTATACAGCCCTATATAGACCAGGCTTGCTTCAGACACAGAGATTTGCCTGGCTCTGACACACCGATTCTCCAAGATAATCTTAAAGAACCATTGTCCTACATTTGGCCCATCACTGACCAGGATGTTGTCCTATTGTTTCTGAGCATAACTTAGGAGCCATAAAGATCACAGGGGATACAAAAATTTCTGATATTTGAAGTAAAGTCTGGATTTGTTAATAGCAACTTTGGTCAGTTTCCCCCTCAAAAAGATGGGTCTACTCCTTCTCAAGAGAATGTCTGTCACATATTCAGATCAGAGTATCAGCCTGCAGCCCAGTGACAATGCTCGTGCTTGTGGCAAGGAAAGAATTTTGGCATAGATAACACATGCTATGAACACCTTTCTTTCTACCACAGGAAATATGAAAAGGAGCAGCTAGCTATTC